TTTTTTTTTTTTACCATACAACAGAAAATTAAACTATTTTATTACATTTTATGTAATTACGAAAAAAATGTATAATAAGTATAATATATAGTATTTGACACGGCCGCTGGTAAACTCGTAATTGTCATACTCACAGATAAGGATTGACGATAAAACTGAATTTGAACTTTGAACATCAACGAAAAGTAATAGATGATTATATTTTTGTATTATTTAAAAAAATAGTGCGACCCACCAAAAGTATAATCGCGACCCACAGTTTGGGAACCTCTGCCATAGACCATTAAAATAATTTTAAAATTGTATTTACATTTCGGGGGGGAGGGCGCTCAGCCATCCCCCTGGCTACGCCACTGATGCTGTCTATATGATTATTACAGTAATTATTGTATGGATTGTACAACATAAAAAAATCAGCATTAATACCTGTTCTTCTGGTCTTAGTAATTTAGTTTACATTTTTTCGTAGTAGTAGTGTAGGTATACTCAAGAGTCAGGAGTCAGGACCCAGACAAGCTTTAATAATATTTTATTTTATTGACATATTTTTTAATTCATCAATTATAATTATTATCGTTTGCCGCCTATAATAGTAGAGAATTATCACAGCTCCTAATATTATGTACATAATATTTTTTTGGAGGATAAAATATGAAATCAAACTTAAAAATTAATTTTTAAATTGGCTGCCTAACAATAAACCCTCTCGAACAATAAACATTGCATAATGACGATTCACACTTCACAGTATAATAAAATATACCTAATTATATTATATTATTCGTTTTTACTATTTGTTGATTGTCATTCTGCACACGAGTTACGAGTACAGATCTTGATCCTTATGAGATGAAGAACTATCATTATACTCCGTTTGTTATTGTTCATACAATAAACTTAATACAAGTATTTGTGCATATTAGTACTACAGTTTATTTTTTTAAATATATAAATCGATTTATTGTGCCATTTGTATGCTAACATTTCTGTATAATAATAATTTTAATAATTAATACATTGTTTGACAATTATTTTCATTAATAATGTTGCAATGTACTTATGGTTCCAGATTAACAAACAGCTAAAAATATATATATTACATTTACATAGGTAAGTATATACTACTCATTACGTTGTCACGTTGGTTAAGATTAAGTGTTTCTATGGATAACCGAGGAAATATTTTTGCATGTCAGAGGACTTCCGTTATTATTCGAATCATTGAAACCGACTAACCACCAATACTGGTATTAATAAAAGAATAATAAAATATAAAACACATTTTTACTTCATTATATAATTATATATATATAGAGTATAATTTTATAAGTAACAATCAAAGACCGTTATGATAATAATAATTACAATGGAGCAAATTATGTACTATAATGTAGGTAAAACGGAATACAAATAAGGTAACATTTCGTAACTTTATAAATAAAACAAAATATTTTAATAAAAATTACATAAACGCGTTGGACGTATTATAACTTATGCTTAAAATATTATTTTATTTATCATAACAATATAATATTAAAAAAATGAATGAAAAATTCGTATAATATGGTAGGTACCTACTTAAAAATTAAATATTAAACGGATACACTTATTTATTTACAAAAAAAAAAAAAAGTTGTCACATTATAATATGTTATAAGCTTACAAATAATTTTTTTTCCAAAAATAAATATTTTGTATCCAGAAAAACAGTTATTTAGTACACTCACGACGGACATGATTCTGCGTTAATTCAATAGCAATTTAAAGCAATATCTGTAAAAAAGGTCCAATGTACAGTAGTTTTATCCTTAAACATAATTTGTCCACAAAAATTCACGAACGATGGGGGTGATTACCACTTGAAAAACAGAAATATTTCTATAATTATACACGCCGAACTTACTTTATTTGTGCACATCACCGAATGTGTATATCCGTCAGAGTGGTGTGCGGTAATCGATCATTAGTCTAAGTCTTTGTCGTTGCCATTTGGGAGAGCCAAGGAGAGTAGACCGCTTACTGCGAAAAAAAAATTTAAAATTTAAAAAAAACAACATGCACGGATGGTATTTTATGTTTGACGATAGAAACTAGAAAGCTAAATTTCCGTCGGTTTTCAGAAAAACACCCGACACCGTGAAATCGATGTACAAAGCGACATCTAAACGTTTTTATGAAATACAGAAAATACTGAAACCTGGTATTTAAGGGCCTCCGTGCTATATCATATAAACGCAATAATATAATCATCTCGAAATCTAAAATTAATTCTGAGCAGTGCGTTAGAGGATTTTTTGAAGGGGGCGGGGGCTACAATACTTGATTGCTAGGGCTAGACGCTAGAGTACTATACCGGTACTACCGAGTATAGGTACTAAGTTTGATATTTCGAGAGCGGGGAAGGGGGGAGGCTCAAACTCTTAAGCCCCCCTAGCTTCGGTTTGTGTCCATTATCGTTATAACTTAGGGTGACCATTTTAAGAAAATAGAAAAACGGACAAATAACTCCCTCCTCCAAAAAAAACCTCTACATACAATCACACATACGCAAACAACTGCAGAGTGTAAACGTCTCAATATGTGTCACAAACAATAGGTTTCTAATTAATTTACCCTTTTTGAGTTAAATATCGGCCCTCAGCCCTCGTTCTACCAAAACTGTTATCTATGTTATTCATAACTTTGGCTATAAAACTGTCTTTATAAACAGGCTTATAATATGAACATATATGGAAAACGGGACCAGACGTGTCCCGTCCGAAGCTTGTCGGGACAACGGTACATGATGTTTATAAAAGGGACCATCCCGTTTTAAACTGGGCGTCTGGCCACCCTATATTAAAACGTACAAGTTATAACTTTATAAGTAACCGGGTAGGTTACCTACCACACAGCTACTTAATAACATAGGTACCTAATATAACCTACGTTTTATAGCTACCACGGTTAAAGATAAACCTATACCGGCTATACCTATACACCGCATATCTTTAAAGGCGGGTTTCCACTAAAGCGTGTGCCGTGTACACGAAAAATGTTCAGCTATGCCCAACAACACGGTAATGTGGGTAATCGTGTGGTAACCTAACCTAAACAACCAATCACAGCAAATGATTTGTATGCTGCACGTATGCGCTCACGGGTATAAATAGTGGAAACCCGTCTTAATCGTGCCAGATTCGACAAATTTGTGCATTTAACAATAATACGTACTTATCAACAACGAGCTGAATATGATAATTAGCAGGATGCAGTGCGAGTCGATGAGAAGTCCGAATGTGATGTTGGCCAACAGTGATCCGAGGCGGCCGAACGTCGCTGAAGCCGCGGCTGCCATTACTCTGCGCACACACCAAATCTTATTTTATTCAGTGTTTTTTTTTTTTTGTTGTTTTTTCGATATGAATAATTGATCATCCGCCACTTAGCCCATATGGTAGCTAAATGTGTACAGGCGGAGTTTTGATAGAATGCATGGAGGGGGGCTAGAGTTTTCAACAGTGACCCTTATTGGGACAATGGAATACTGGGCACTGAATTTGGTGAGGGTAATCTCCACCGTTAGAGACGATGTGCAAATTGCAAATGCACAGTGCAATGCAATAATCCTCTCGAAAGGTACAATCATATAAATTACAATATTGTAATATATCATATATCATTTGTGTAAATGTACGTAATATATTATGTTATGGTCGGCGGTTGGTCTTACCTCATGTTGGTGGGGAACAGATCGACCATGATGCACATCAACACACTGATTCCCAGTCCGCTGAACGCTTCGAACAGGCACGACAGTATGAGATTTTGCAGAGCGTTTTTCACGAAATACATAGCGGCGGCCACAATTCCAGACACGAATAGGCACATCACTGTAATTGGACAGTTAACGATATTATTATTATTGTAAATTGTAATTTTTTATGCATCACCCCAACCAAAATATTACAGGACCGATTCCTATACGTGTTCACCCTTTTTATATAATTAAAGTGTCAGCCGTTCGAAATGTCATTCATTTTACCCCTCGTGTAAGCTTTTTGGTTGGCGGTGTTTCCACTCGACTGTTTATAGTGTTAAGTCACGGAAAACTTGCTATCAAATAAGGTATGTAACATTGATCTTTACTTCAAACTCAAATTTGTAATACATTAGTAGGATACATCTGACTAAAATATTTTAAATTGTTTCACACGTACAAACAGTATTTATGTGCAAGTTAAATCTGGTCGAGATTATGGTGCTATATTATATTATGGTGAATATTTTTAATTCCGAGTTAACCAGACAATGAGGGGAGTTCGGGCTCCTTGCACCCTCACCTTCCCTGAGAGACTCCGTAGTTCAGCATAGGCATACATGTACCAGCACCTCACGTCACACGACTATTGCTACCTACTGCTGTTACATTTGAACTTTCTTTCAATAAATGGAAATTGTCTATATTAAATTAAAATATATTACCTACCTATCATCCTGGACCATTGGAAGAGTAGTACTCAACATTCAAATAAGCAGTTTATTTTTTAATCTTGCAAATTAATTTTTTCCGTGATCGAATTTACCAAACGATTAATAAAGCAATTTGGTTGATGAAGGGATCAATAAATTTCCCACGACGATTTTCGATTATTTTATCAGTCAGGATTCGATTAGTTCTATATATTTAATGCAATAAAGCAACCGATGTTATATATGTTATTCCGGGCTTCGATCCAATGGCAGACCGGAAATTAAAATACTGCAAAAAAACGTCCCCGGAAAAAAACTACAGGTAGTCTGACTGCATTTTGTGTTTGTGTAAGTGTGATGTGTGTGTAATTTTAATCGAACAATTAGTCGACCGTACTCGTTCAGTCAATTGGAGGTAGTATAACTCTGGTTGAAATTTCTATTTTGAAATTACATTTTTGCATTGAAATGTTTTTATAACTAGTCTACAAGTATGGCAATATTGCCAAAAAAATATGGGATAATATGACATTTGTATCGCTAGACTTGATGATTTGGATATTGTTGAATTATTTTCCACATAATTATTTTAATTGAATATTATTCTATGCAATGATATAATATGATAATAGTTCAAAATTTGTTGGGTTATTTTTGTACGATATTTCTATATAATAAATAAATAAAAAATTTTTTGAAGTGTTTATGTATACATTATTTCACGGCGATATACGTACATAGGTACTACACTCTTAATGGTCTTACAATGTAGTAATTTAGATCTCTGAACATTTAAATAAATTAAAATTGCATCAGATAGTAATATATTTTCCTAAGATATTTTTAATTTTTTATTTAAATCAGTCTATGGCATATGACTCCCCTTATTTACACCCTAGTTGCTTAATTTTTTTCGAAAACTATTGATAAAAATCACATGTATGTGTCGGAACTTTAAATTAACTGTAGTCGTTATGGATAATAGGTACGTTGGTGCTACTATACTATTAGGGCCGATTTTTGCGTGTAGTTACTACCTAATAATTAATATACGAAATTCATTATGGATTGTAATCTGTAAATTATCTACGAAATTATTATGCGTGTACACTGTACAGTGTACTTAAAATTAATAATGACTAATGTCTGACACTATTTATATCATTACACTCGATATATTACCAATACATTGTCGATTATTATTAAAAAACGTTACCTAAGAAGAACTTGGCGCCAAGCCGGTGCACGCAGAGGGGCATCCACAGAGATGTGGGTATGCAAGCTATGCCGATCCACAGAGTGTGCGTGTATACGGATTCTCCGACTGCCGCCCCACACAAGTCGACTGTGTTCAGTCCTCCGTCGTGTTCTATGTACACAGACGACACTTGGCACACGGACACGTCCTCGCCGGGCTGCTGGCGTTCGAATGTCTCGAACCTGTTGAATAGCTCCGGGAACCACATCATCAGCGTGTAGTAACTGCAACGATAAGACATTAAGATACCACGACGTTAGCTAGCAGGTGCGTTTAGAATTTAACATTACTATCATTTGTATAGAGCAACGACTTTCGTGTACAGACTACAGATAAACCATCAGGATCAGTTTATAAATTTAAAAAATAAAAAGTAGTCACTTACTATCCACGTTAAATCATCCTTAATAAGGGAGGCACACCTAAATACATTTTGTTTTACACTATATTATACAGTCAGTCGACTCACCCGTTATATAAATAACCAGGTAAAATATATTCTTCTTGGTCGATTACCTGCATTCCAAGCTAACAAGTTAATGAAATATTTGTTAATTTATTGACTACTAAAAATATAAAATACTAAAATATTTCGTGGTCTTCAATTAAGAGTATCAAAATATGCACTAAAACATCGAAGAAAGCTTATGCAATCAAAAATATTTCTTAAATTATAAATGTCAAAATATATGCATATTGGCTTTACTTTATCAACAATGTTCTAAATCGCATTTTGTACTTTCTAAATTATAATAATATAATAAAATAAACCAGAAACTATATGCAAATACGTATAAATTCTTGCTCTAGTTATATTACTTATTAGTATGAGTAAGTATGTGTAAGTTGGTATGTATAGACTATTAGAGGTTCTGAGAATTTCTTGAAAATATTTAATATTTCAGTGAAACAATATGATGAAACTTAAACACAAAGAGAATAAACGAAATTAAATAAATAAAAATGTGATTAATATTATATAATATGTGACATAACTATCAAACATCAAGTCAAACTTTTTAGGTAAGTGTTTTAGTACCTATGATAATGAGTGGAGCTCCTTAAATTACCTGGACGTCAGGCCGAACTGTATGAGACACGTGAGTAACGTGTTCTTAAGGTGTGGTGGTTTGAACATCTCTTTAGTCTGGTACCACACCTCGTTCAACAGATTCTTGAGGTCCTTTGGCGTCTTTACCGTCTTCATGCTGCGCAGCGAACGCTTTGACTGTATGCTGATCACACTGCATCGGACCTCATTCTCGATGAGACTCCGCACCTGAAATACGAGTGTAAAAATTACCGTTGGTTGAGTGTGACAGTAGGACCCAGTATGGATATAGTACTAGGTAAAATATCAAAAACGAACGAAGCCAGTTCAATTCGACTAGTGATTTGAAGCCTGAAATCGGAACTATAGACTCTGCAAGATCCCGTAAATTGACTACGAAGGTCTTTCGAGAGGGAGGACCCGAGAAATATTTTTTAAATTAAACATTTATTTAGACCAGCGAAGTTTAAACGCACGGGATTTAAACAAATTAGATTTAATATTCTAAAGACCACATGCGTTTAAACGCTACAGAAAAAACCATTTAGTAGGCCCTGGCCTGGGAGTCATGCTATTTTAACAGAATACGCGAGGTACAAACAATTAAGTCAAGCACAGTAACTCTGCATGCACCACCGAGGTGGGTCTTGTGTTTTTACTTGGTGATATGTACTTAACCTATAGAAAGAAAATACATTTTTCTTTGAAATCTACGAAGACATGACTAAATCAGTAACATCACTTTAGCAGGAAAAAATAATTGATTGGTTCATAAACCATAATGGACATGTATGAGCACAGTACCAAGGTACGGGGAGGGGGGGGGGTGGGTATAAAGCCCTGAAGCCACTCCTCACTACGACACTGTCTGAGCAAGTTGTAGGAAATCTTTCTTCCTATCAAACCATTTGGATGTGAATGCAGCAGTGTATCTGCAAATGTAGAGATACAACCATTCTGTCCATGCGCTCCATTACAGCGCCCTGACCTATATAATATATGTTTAGGTGTACACTCGTGTAAACTCGTTATTCTGCACTCAGAGGGTATCCGCGCTCAGATACGTCACTATTCGACAATGACATGGTTTCGTCTATCTATAATATTAATGAGGTGTTGTAACTTACCGGATATGCTTCTCCCGGTTCACCAGTATTCTCCGTGTAAATCCGTTTCAGACACTCGAGTGCCTCGTCAAATTCTCCACATTCCAACAGGAACTTTGGGCTCTCCGGGAACCTAGTCAGCCACAGAGCCAACAGAATACTGGGCAACGAGCACAATGTGAGGAACAGATTCCACGACGAATACCGGAATAAGCCGCCGATGGTGTATTTGGCTGCCAGCGGGATGATGCCCCAAGCAACCACTGGTGGCGAACACGATAAACGGTGGTTAAGTGTGTTATTATTATTTTATCATGGTTATTAGTTAGGTACTATCTATTATTTTGTACAACATACTGTTAAGTATTTATAAATTATAGGACCATGCAGCCGCAGTAGCGTAATTTCAGTTTTCAATAAAGAGGGTGGAAAAAGTTTTGACCATCTCAAATGGGTTATTTAAATAAAATATAAAATAAATATATTCCAACTATTAAGTATGCATTTTGTCAATAATTTCTTAGTACACAATAGGTATAATATTTTGAAAAAATTTTACAGAAATAGGTATGATTTTGCGCTAGTAAAATATAATATAGGTTGATCGGAAATAACCGAGCCCATCGGGCTGCTTTTCAAATCAAACAGGGGTAAATGCACACTTGGTCACCTCCTATATGATGACGCTGCCTCCAGGTTACCTATAGTTATTAGGATATCGTTTAGGATTATTTTAATATTATACTTACGTGGTAGCATTATGATGCCTACAGTCCAAAACATTTCCAGCCACGACAGCACTTTTTCTCTATAGATTTTCGGTTGAAATTCCCCCAAATACGAGAAACAAATTCCCAAGTATCCAGACACGCTATAAACAAACACGATTTGTGACGATTCAGTTACGATTTGTATAATTATAACTTGTAAGTACTGTACAGTGTTTACTCAATTAATATACAATATTTTTTATAAAAAAGGGAGTTAATAGAAAACTTATAATAGTATTATAATTTAGCATTACAGTATAAAATTGTTATTGTTTTTATTTCATTTTAGTATTTCAAATTAAATTTAAAATAACTATTTTGAATATTTTTCAAATATTATTTAAGCAGATGTATAATTATAGCATTAGTATTTAAATGCTCAATAGTAGCTAGTAGGTATGTATATAACAACTTATATAGGTACTTTTGTTTTAATGTTGTTTTGTACTCACCCAAAACCACTGAAGAAACGACAAAACAAAAACGGCCAAAAGAATGTGAGGAAACTTGAAAGTAGACTGAATAGGCCATCCATGAGTAGTGCTGCGATCAGAGCTTTCTTTCTACCATGCATATCGGCCAGGCAGCCCCAAAAGTAAGCTCCCAAGAGCATTCCTATATTTTAGGTACACATACATTATAAATTTATAACGCACAAGAATCCTAAGAGTTAATTTTAATTGTATTCATTAACATCAAGTGGCAGTAAATAACATAATTACATAATATATAACAGAATCAGTGTTGAATAATAACAAATAACCCATAAAGTTAACTATTATTTTAACTTATAACTTAACCTAAGTTAATTAACCTGCCATATAGGTAATTAACTTAAAATTAAACTGAAAAAAATGTTAAGAGAATATGGGAAAAAACATTGACACATTTCAAAAGATGTTACTAATTTTTAATTATAACTTGTCCACACACTCATACATAAGAGTCATTTCTCTAGGTGATTGTGAAACTTAATTTTTTTTTTAAATAATAACAAAATATTTTGTTAAGAATACATCCTTAAATTAGTTGTTGTGGTGGTGGCAATTTCAAGTCTGTTTCAACTAAATTATTAAATCTAGTAATAATAATGAATTAATTTGTATTTTAAATCATCGTATATACTCAGGATAACAATAATAATTTTAAAAATAATTGTTGATTGTTTAAATTACAGCTAGAAATATGTGCAAGTATAAATAATTTAATGTATTATTTTTACAACTAACTGAAAACAGTTATGATATTTATTATAATAGCTGATAATTTAACCAGTTCATATTCAGCTAATTTTTAAACTTAACTAACTAATTAAGTCAAAAAAAAAAAAATTAAGCAGTTAATGTCTCCTATGATTATTCAACTGTATAATTACCCATGAGCGGGACGGCGTTCAACAGGCCCTTGTCCGACGAGCTCAGTTGGAAATCGCATTGCGCCGAAGGCAGGACGAAAGACACGACGCTCACGGATATAGCGCAGTTCATGTAGATGAGACCACATAGCGCCAACAAGAAGTAGTGAAATCGGCCAAATTCTATCGTGGAATAATTACGTAGATCATCGACAAGAGTTGGGATAAAAAAAAAATTTAAAAATTTTCGTTTAGAATAATTATTTAGGATATAAATACCCACAGGTACCGCAAGAGCGCCGTGGAAAATAATGTATTACCTGCGCACGTTATGGCGTGCTCGAAAATTGAACCATTGTCCAAGAAATCCAAACCTATACATATAACAGTGTAAAAATATAATAAATCGTAAGAGTTATAAATGGTGTAACATATTATATGCATGTATGTATGATGATGATGATAATAATAATAAGTATGCATAGACTATCGAAGCAATTGAACACAATTAGTTTCGTGTTAATGACAAAATATCGTAATGATGTTTGTCAATATACTCAATAAATTCTCGTTAGATAAATTCTGGCAATTATTACTTGTGCGTTAATTAAAAAAGGTTTAAACTTGTAACTACAATTATATTGACTAAGATTTTACACTTTTTTTTTTTTAACAATTTTCAATTGAAAACCAAGGAGTAAACGTTAATTTTGTTATTCATTAAAAAGACGTCTGAAGTACATACATACTTTTTATGACAATCTATATTTTTTCATCTTCAATACACACATTGTGTTACTACTGTAAGTATATGAATAAATGATAAACATTTTTGGCTCTTAGCTATCAAAGTGTCGTGTATTTGAAGTAGCGGATTTATATTATAAATTATAATACCCATCCTTTTTATTTTTCGTTATTAATTTCTCAAATTTCCAAAAAAGGCTGAATTTTTTCATTATAATATTTGTTTGAAAATTATCCTTATCATTATTATTTGTTATGTGTTTGTATTATTTATAGATTACCTACTCATTAATTTCTGTTAAAAATTTTTTAATAGTTTAAATTTGTAATATTCGTTATCACGAATGTATTAGATTTGTATAATGAATGTACATAATCGTATGCTGAAATGTACCCAGTTACTTTATTATTACAATTTACTTTAATATAAATATAATAAATATTTGTTATTTTGAAGGAAGGGCAAAACAACGAAGTACACCATATATACTTCTATATTTGTATGGGATTTTACTCATCGAGTTTACTAGTACCTATGCATAGTAATAGTAGTATAATATATTTAAATGAACAACTCACAAATAACGATTGTTTTTACATAAACATGTTACACATACTGGGTGATTATTATAACATTAAACATTCAACACTACAAAATAGCAATTCATTTTTTACTACAGCTGTAATATTTTAAAAGGTTTTTTAATAATTGAATGACAACATTTATTTATGGTTTCATATTCCGAAGGATAATATTTTTCTAAGAAGTTTGATAATATTAGATAAAAATCAAATTTCATACAAGTATGTACCTAGTTAATTTTATAAATTAAAAGTTTTGATGAGCAGAATGGAGTGTAACACCCTTGTAAAAAGTTGATGCTCTTCTTCATCTATTCATAAACTATTTAAATAAGTATAACTAATTAACTACTCATTAATAATTCGGTGTCTGTGCATTAAAATCCGAGGAAAACTATTTTGACTTCAGATCGTTAGAACAAATATATTTAAAAACATCAATAATTTTAGTAAATAATTATGTTTACCTTTAAAGGATTCACCCTGTATGTGTAGTCACTTCTACAAATACTTTTCAACTTATCTCAAATATAAAAATATGATTAACATATTATTTGACTATTTACACAATATTAGGTACCTATACGATTGCCTTGTCATAATACTAATTAAATAATTTTAATCAATAGTCATATTCAATTGAATTGTCTTAATCTGAACATTGCATGAAATGTTTTCAAGTACCTATTTGAAAAAAAAAATTGGAAAAAATAAAGGATTTTGAATTATTACAGACGTGTATGATTACAATAATATTACAAGATAAGTTTTTCAATTCAATTGTGTAACAAATATTTTTACAATAATTCATTATTATATAAGAATTTTTTTAGTGCTTATAATATCGGTTTGTGGGGTTCCTAAAGTGTGTTTAATTAACACAAATTTATTATTATAGCTATGAAATATTTTTTGCTATTTTTCGCAGATCAATGTTCAGTGGTATACTTTATTCTTTCAGTTAATATTTATCAGGGTTAACTATATTGTATAAATAATTGAACACCTCTGGTATAGTGGTATGAGTGTATGACATAACCTAGATATTCGTGAGACATTAAAAACAGTGCAAATATTTTTTATGTAAAAATGGTATTTTTTAATTAACGTCTACTATAAGTTTGTTGGTATGTGAATAAAGAACTTATATTTTTAAGAAAATTCAAGTTTATACGACTAATATTTTTCTCTTTCAACAAAAATATGTAAACGTACTACGTAGGTTATTTAAAATGTAAATAATATTCTCCACTCGTATACGTATGTTTTACTCTACATAGGTAGGTATGTACAGAGTTTTCTACTGCTAACGAAACATGTCAAAACTGTGTACAATATCAAATATGTTCTTACTGAAATACATGTAAAGGGTCCTTCAGATATTAAACATTGTGTATTGTGTATCGACGAAATTGCAGTGTTGAAAAAACGTCGTCGGTATTGAACTAGAAAAACAGCAATAACAAAATATTGAACACTAGAGGATACCTCAAGTTTCAATATCAGACGGAGAACAAATATATTTGAAACGACAACTTATTTTGCAGGGCGAGGTCACGAAGATGATTATACGACTGAACGATATTCATATAAAATAAACATTGTTATTTTGTAAAAACTGTTTCTTCTTCTCTTTTTTTTGCTCTAAAAAGTGCGAACTTCTATTTTTTGGAATTTTAAGCTGCGCATTAAACGAAAAAGTTAAATTCATATAAACCATAGTTTTGTATACTTTCTATCAATATAGGTATGACTAAAATACAAGTATATTGTGGTTTTTCAACTTTAAAATTCTTTTAAAAACATGGAAACTACAAGCTTTGATATAAATCAAATACAATTTAAAAGCACAGCACATATAGTTACTTACTTTTTTTACAGAAATGATATAATGATCTAGGTACCAACATTTTGATATATTAAAAAAGTACCCAACTACTTGTGGTATTTGTATGCACAATATTCTTTACATTTGGAAGGTGATGAAATATTTTTTTGTAGTGTATGACGTAATACATATAAAATAATATATTTCACATAATGAGCTTAGTGTCGGACAAGTATTTTCGTATAAATTAATAAGTTCTTAAAATATATTGTTGATCTACAGGTTTATCACAATATCAATATAAAATGATTGAGAGAGATATAGTGTTGATGTACTATTGGACCATTTATTTTATAATGGCGTGTACGATTTATATAGCATTTGTAGAAACTTAATCCAATTTTTACATAGGTAGTATTCAAACGCGTTAAGGTGGCACGACACAAATTTTATGCATAAATAGGGTGGGTGGGAAAAGTGGAAAAATAGGCATTTTTAAGGCGTTTAAATATGATCCCTAAATCTATAGTACTCCTATGTTATGTTCATGAAATTCTATAAATTATCTATGGATCGTAATTAAACGTAACAATTGTTTATATTTTAAAATTTTATACTTAAAGCATAACTATAAGTACTAAAATAATCAAATAATAAAACTTTATTTTTTACTAATTAATTTATATTGTTTCTTCGGCAGTGGCAGGAATATATCGTTTTTTACTGCTATCGAATGTAAGCAGCTTAAAAAGTGTTGGTGAAATCGGTGATTAAAACTATATTGATTATACCTATCTTATATTTAAACATTTATAACAGGTATAATATTTGGTCATGTACAGTATATTATAGTAAGTTATACTAGATCAAATTATGTAAACATTTCCCCCCTCATTTTCCAAATGAAATACAATATGAGTTTTTTCTTCAATGGGAAATTGTTTGTGTTTATTTATACCAAGCAAAATTACACACAGTACATATTACAACAACGAGTAATAGAAACAAATTCATACGCGCTTTCTATACATACAAAAATAATATAAAAACGAGTTATTATCTTTATCAAATTACGACGTCCCACTCAATAATCCGAATTGATATTGATATCGATAATAATTGATCCTTTATCATAATATCATCGCAATAACTGTGTTATCGTAACCATTTTAAATACCCTGTTTAAACTAAACATAGGCCAATTTTTCAGGGACCTTCTTCATATTTATTCGTCAACGTTCGTCGTAAATCGTTAAGTTATTTATCGTAGGTCACTATAACCGATATGGTTATGGAATATAGATGATATTCTCTGTGCTTCGAAATCACCGAAAAAGTAAAAAATACAGTTTAAACGAATGCCGTATATGTTAATATATTACTATATTAGAGTAAATTAACCTCTAAGGCTCTAAATAGGTGTCGCTTGAATTAATTTATATTTTGCAATAAGTGGAGCACTATATTCATCCCAAAAATTATTTTTAATTGTTCGCAAATATAATTAAACGCATCAAATAATATGAATACACGTTTGTAAGGGATGCTAGAGATATAGAATATTGACTTAAGAAGATATAATTAATATTGAAATGAATGATAAAAGTAATAAATTCGTAAAAATGATGGCACCTCTCATGATTAACTTTCAAAATGACTACTTTAAATTTCCAATGTCCGTTAATTGTTAATTTTTTCGGGTGTAGTTACACTTGAATTGATTTGTTCACGAAGTTATTACACTTAGACCGAAATACACCAATTAATCCACCGCTAGCGAATTGTGTACCTCAGTCAGATTTGTCTACAAAATTAAGTAGGTACTGTCACACAGAAATGCAATGAGATTTGTATTTTATATCTGTTCATTTTTTCCTGGATAGAGTCAGGTAATACAACTATTTTAAAATATATTAATATATTATATAATTATGCGTATAACACCTTCCGTCATCAAAAAACAATTTAGTAACAACGTATGGTTTACTTCTGTTTGTTTAAAATCCAAAATCGTACATAAGCTGTAAGCACAACTACCCAGAACTGTCGGAATTCGATGATTTCCAGCAGAGGGGCTCATAGCAACAGCAGCGCATCTGTAGATCGTATTGTAGCCGTATCTGTATTAAAAATTAACCTAACCCAACCCATCTGAAATGATAATCCTTTGATATCCTATTTATGATCTCTAAATGGTTTTTTCATTACATAGTTCATTCTAAACTATAATTTTTACTATATTATTTTATTTCGAGGTAAAAATATACAAGTCAATTATGGAAATCTGTTAAATATTATTGTTATTTAATATTATTTGTTGTCCTCGGAGACCCAAAGTTGATAGCATTGTAGTAACTACTTACCTACCTACCTACCTACCCGTAACTCCGAGAAAATGTCTAAGAGATCTGGGAATATTCCTACTCTGTGTGGGCGATGCTGCTAATTCACATCCGTTTTACATTTTTCGGTTTTGTTGTGGAGGTACAATTATCATCGATTCTCGCAGCTTTCAATACAACGTATCTATAGTGCACCTGACACTGCTGCACCCCTCAATTTTCTTTTACTATTCTTGTTCTGTCGGTTGGTCGAGTTTTGATTCTGAGTCGACTGGGCAGATGTCTGTTCCACCGACGACAGACTTACCGATCGACAATAAGCACCGCCACCGATGTCACATTATTTAAAGTTTGATTATTTATCTTTGTACTTCAGGGAGCTATATTGAGAAAACGAGGTAATATAGATAATATGTTATCTACAAACCGTGTGCAGTTTGTAGTGTTTATACCTCGATTAATCAGCAGTATTAATATGTTGAAGTGATGGAACTATATTAAACCTGCATATAACTTATATATTAAAACTCACGGTAAAAAAAAAAAAAACATGTTTCCATCCAAATTTATTTGGGTCTGAAAAAGGTTAATATAAGGAGAAAAAGTGTTAAGCATAACATAGTGTGCTTCTCTTTATATTATTTTTATATTGCTGAATCATCGCGATATTATGACTTGGTCAATAAGTATTTAAATTATTTTTAACAATATTTAGATATTTATAATATTTCAAATAACTTATCCCGGAAAAAATTATAGTTATGAGTCATGACAAAAGGTTATGTGATAATACATTTAATACTAACCCTTAAATTTACCATTAATAAAACGACAACTAAACAAATAGCCGTAATTATACCATTTCAATATTGTTAAATTTATTTTAGTTACATATTGGGATTAATACATATTTTTACATATTCAAACATTTACAGGGGAGATTAAGACCCCTTCCCCTAATGTGTTATACTTAATAATTAATTTTAAAATTATTTTAATGTGTGCTAATAAATTATTGACTTATTCTCCCATAAATGTTTCAATGTTGACAGATATATTATCTGTAATATTGGCCAAAAATGGTTTTTTAATTTGTGGTAATATTGATTAGTTAAAATCATATTGGTTTAAATATATAAAAAAAATATATTTAAAATTGTGACCATCGTAATTATAACAAATTTTATTATTAGGTATATTTTGTACTGTTTGTATGTTACACACGCATATATGATAACTGCTAAAATATTATTATTTATTAACTAATCCCAAATAATTTTTTGGCATATTATTATTATTTCAGCAGAATATTTACATATTATTACTTGTAGCATAGGTGCCTAATATAATATGTGAAATAGAGTTTAGACTTTAAATGGTATATAGAGTCCAGTGGCGGCTTAAACTTGTTGAGCCTTTGAAGCAAATTGCACATTTTTAATATTTTTACCGTCAACCATCCATTTTATTACACCAAAATGATCATATATTATGTATAAGATTATATTAATTATAGTATTTGTCATGACAATTATTGTGTTGAGGTGTTATAATTATACCACCCACCTATACATCAGACATGAAGCAATTGCTTCAAATACTCCTATATATACGGCCGCCACTATACATAGTATTATAACTTATAATATACATTATACATATATAAATTACCCATCACGTCCCTGGTGCTTCGTAAGTCTGTAGTACGAGTTTCTGCATAGATGAACCAAAACCGAAAAGTAAAATTGAAAATAAAAACAAAACCGAATTAAAAATGATGTTTAATCAATAACAGCATACAAATATATGACGTGTATATTGTAATAATAATATAATATAATATTATATATTATGTGTCCAGGTAAAAAAAAAAATAACTTTTATCTATCGCACGGGCACACGCGCATACGCGAACTGATACGAAGACGACACGAGGACAATATAGCTATTACTATAATATTATATTACAATATCAGCACGATATTTATTCGGATCTGGTGGGCTTTTCGACTTCGGTGGCCGCACACACTCACGCGCGAGCTCCAACTAAATGGCTTGTGCAATGATTATAATATTATAGGTATATCGTCGCAGGAGATTTGGGAGGTGTTTTCGGTGGTGGTATTATCGCGACCGGGTACCGCGTGCCTATAAATGTTGTGGTAGACTGTCGCTGTGCGTTATAAACGCAGATATGTAAAAACGACGACGGCCCGAGAATAATTGGCTCAGATAAAAACAAGAACGATATGGAGATAGGGCGGCGGCGGCGGCAGACTGCGTCCATCGAACAAGTGGTCTCTGCGTCGATCGTGGTAGGAGTATCTCGTAGTATTATTATCATAGTACAATGATAATATTATAGAATCGGCGAACAATAATAATGATAATATAATATTTATATCCGACGACCGTTTTTATTATACCCAGCTTTTAAAACGATTAATCGCTCACCCACCGATCACTATATCGTACATATATATATATATATATAAACACAAAAAGATATGACGAAGACTGGATTGTCGTCTCTGTTCACCTGAAACAATGCGCGAGGAGAAACAATAACATCAGCACCTCTACCCCGGCACGAGCTTCCGGTGGTTTTCGCGCGACTGCCGACGCCAAAATCATACCACTATAATAGTCTCTCGTCGGAATGCCTAGAATATATTATCATTAATACAAAGTATATATCATCTATCGTTTAAAATTCGTCTCCATGTTATCGATTATCGTCAAGGTCACTATAATTTATCATAATGTTAAACATGTTATAATAATAACAATACCTAATAACATTATGTCATCATCCAAACACATAAACATAACCGCACGTACTACACCGATTCGTATGGATTTTTTTCGAAAATGATCATTCAATTTTCGCACATATACCTACGGGGCCTAGGAGTCTCTCTCTTCCCTAGAGTCTAGACCACCTCCCCTTAATATTCATTACAAAGGTTAAGAAGCCCCCCTCAGAATTCAACCCTAGATTCACAAATCAATTCTAAACAGAGTGTTTATCCTTGTTTTTTTTGTTTTCTCAATAATTAACTAGCACCGCTGGAAAGCAGTAAACCATAGATCGAGGACCATCTTGTAGTGTAACGATGCCGATATCTCAAATATAATTATAGAGATCGTATATAAATATATATTATACATTTTGTGCAGTTATGATATTTGCTATAGTTTATACTGCTTCCATCATAATCACTAGATGCATCATTAGGATGACTTATATTTTGTCCTAACTCCCACCTAACTCCCTAGCCCCTACTAATTCAGCCTATACGTTCCTATACAAGTTTTGATGTCTCGGGAGAATTGCGCTCACATGTTGTCTCTACTGCAGGCTTATGTTCGCCGCGTTGATAATTATTTTTTTTTTATGATTACACTGTGCTGCATTTCTGTACAAGGTATACAGGGTGATTCGCCTATCACGATCACCCCCTTTTTTCTATAATAATGCAATTATTTAAAATCCCATTTTTGGAATTTGTAAGTATACTTACAGACTATACTTTCAAATTGTTGAGATTTTTTGTACTACTTTTTAGTTATTAAGAAGTGTCTTGTGGAGGTACAAACTTCTGTTTTTCAAATGAAATCCTCATCCGTTTAAACTGTATATTATTCAGTGGATAATTGATTTGAAAAAAACGACGTACTAGAATCAAAATTTGCATGAGTAGACTTTGAGTTATTTAACTTTGTGTTCTAAGGATAAAAGTTTCGTGGATATGGGTTTATAATGTTTATATGCTATGGGGGCTATGGTGATTTGAAAATTTTAGTCATTAATATTAATCTACCAATATTAATAATTTGTAAAAATATCCAAGTATAAGAAATGCTAGTTCCAATGTTACGTCTATTTTATATTTTTTTAAAACCATTTTTAAGGACTATTATCCTCAGTACAAACACTTTATTAACTCAGAAACTACTCATTCGATATTTTGAAGTAGATACATCAACATTTTCAAATAAATTATCCACTGAAAAATGTATATTTAGAAGGGGGGTGGTTCTTATTTGAAAAACAGAAGTTTGTACAGCTATAGGAGTGCAGGACATTCCTCAAGTAGTAGGTACAAACAACCTGAGTTTATTTAAAAATTCCTAAAATCAGAATTTGAGTTAAAGTATTATAAAAGGAAAAAACGATGGCGAGCATGATTGGTGAATCACCCTGTGTACTATAATGTACACACGCATATAATATGTTTACCTATATGTAAATAACATTGCTCGGAAAGAATAAAATATAGTTCATCTATCTATAGGTATATGCCGTGGGATTACAAAACTTGAGCAAACAACAAACACTCGACTTGAAATCAAACAAAAATAAAGAAATAAAATAAATATCGGAGATACGGTGACGCCAATATAATATAATTCGACGACCATTATTCCAGTCGAGTGTTTTTTGTAATCGCGACTCATACTAACTGGGCGGTGACGATCTAGTACAATTAGTATACAACACATTTTATACCTATAGGTGGTCATTGCAATCTATTATTTAATCTAATTTTTTTGTCGTCCACTACGGGGCAAATGCGATTCAATTTATAATGTATCGTATGCATCTGCAATCGTGTCTGCATAGTATACGACCTACCGTGAATGTTAATGTTCACGTTATTCAAGTTTCACGATCGTGGAGGTTGAACGAAAAACGTAAGTTGCATATGGCAGAGGAATAAATACATATTAAATCAATGCACCCAGTCACACGGACACAATATGCTTGTATTATACAGTCTCGATACACATTTCTGTTATGAAATATAGTTACGACTTTACAGAGCTTTTAAATGTCTCGAAATTTTGATAGTATCCTACCCACCTGGCGCCTACCAATTAGTGTGCGCAAGAGGACGCAGATAGTTCACTATGGCGCTCGCCGTACTTGGATATAGGCATTGGCGCCACTGTATGTAAAACCGGAACTATATATTTTAATAAAAATAATATTGAGTGTACGACAATTTTCATTTTGTGTAATATTTGCAGTAAACATTCGATGAAATAAGAATACAACATATACCGCCCATACCATCTTGGGTTTAAGAAACGAAAAGTTTAAGCACCTATTTAAGAAACAAAAGGAAAATTATTTAAAACTTTTACAGTATTTTTTAAATTTAATATATGGAACTAGGAATCATTTATACCATAATAATTAATATTCAATCAATCAAGGGCACTAACTAAAATCGATTAGTGACTACGCCTGAAATTGATATTATAAATATTATGTTATATTATTAATATTAAATTGTACCTCGTAGATTGTGAATATAAATTATTTATAAAAATGTAGTTGTATTGTTATTAAGAAATACAAATTAATATTGATACCATTCAAATCTCGATTATACGGAGAGACGTTAATTGTACATCCTGTATTAGTGTTTTTGAATTACGATTATTGATTACCAATATTTATCATATTAAATTTAATAAACACACTGCAACTCACATACGCAGAAGGTATGATGTGTATAGTGTATGTGATTAATATTTTGTTTTAATCTTTTACACATATACCTACGTGCTTGAAATTATAATGCCCGAAATCCTCTTCAAGACTATAAGCGAATTAATATTTACTTCGATAAAAGAATAATACTAACCTTAGTTCTTCCCACGTCATCTAATTAAATAAAAAAAAATACTACCGAGTTTATTAAGTATTAAGCCTCCACGGCCATAGTGTAAACTTTAGGTTTTTTGCGAGATTAAAATATTATATTTATCCTTCTAAACAAACACATGCGGAACGGAAAGACTTATAATTATAACGTGTTGTTAATTATTATAAGTCCCCAACGTGCTCAGAGTAATGACAGTAACGCTTTCATCTCTGCAGACTATGGGCGTAGGTACGCATTACAATTTTCAAACCATTCATATTTAAACTTTAAAGATCTGTGCCCAATATACGTCACTCACACTCTTATCCAAGAACACCGTCATAATAACACTTGTAGTGTCGATGTAGGCTTGGCAGGAGATACAAATCAAATATACCTAAACGCCAATAATTATTACAATAATAACATTACAAGTATATAGTATAATTAGTACAGACATACATGTGACTGCCTGTCGCCATAGTGTAATCGGTACATTATATGGCTTATTATACATATATAGGGTGTCTTGAAAAACTTTAAACTGCTATAAATCAAATTTTAAATTAAGGAAATTTGAAGTTACGACAAAAGGTTTCTGCTCAGAATCGTTTTTCGTTTGAAGTGATCAAAATAAGACTGAAATTTAACGCATCAATGGCAGTGACCCACAGCTACCCTCACTGTACAGCAGAGCGGTAACCGCTTGCCCACCTTTTTCGTTTTGCATAACCTAACTTACAGCGATGGTCACCATATTATGAAATAATTATTTTTGTGTTGTGGCGTGCTATTTATCATAATATAATTATTTTAACCTAAAAGTTCATATCATACCCTTGTACGATAAACATGACCCCGCAGGTGTTCATGCTCGCAAGTGATTTCATCCGTTTTAAATCGTTCGATAGTTCTAACTTATAACTTTAAGTATATTTTATACCCATGGCTAATGTAGATTACACAGTAATGGCTAGACGGTCAATGTATGAAATCGCCTGGATATAATCCTATAAATGTCGAAGGCATGAGATTTGCAAGTTGTTATATTTAAATTGTATATGTGATTGCGGTTACATAAATTATAAATAAGTAGTATTATTCATCGACATTTTTAAATGTTCACAAAAATACAATCAATAATATTTTATTTGTTTAGTTATTGACTAAATAGAATTATTTTCAAGATATAAATATTGGTTAAAGAATAATATATTTAATAAACAATTAACAAATAATATAATTACATACGTATTTTCGAGTGAAGAGAGATAATATGTATGCCCAATAGGTTATTCCTTACTTGCAATCATGTCAGTTTAATAAAATAATATCTGTTAATAGTTTATTCTTTTTACTTATTGACAATGAGTTGTTATTGTAAAAACAGCACTGATTAAAAATAAATAAATAAAAAATACTGTAAATTCTTGGTTTTTAAAAAACAAAGAAAAGGTATTTATGATTGAAATATAATATGTGTGAAAAAAATTATAGTCTGGGATGATTATAATTTTTAGAATCTTTTTAGCCCTCTTTTACATTGTTTTCCCGTGTTAACCACTGACAACAATATGATGTAATAGTACGGTCTTTCAGGGAACTATTTTTCCGTTCGTTACGTCCGTTGTCTAATCGTGTTGAGAAAAAGTTCATTGCGACGTGACCAGGAACTCTTGTGTGGTACTACCGGAGTGGTACATGCTGGGACTATTATAATAGGCTTCCGTACATTTTCTTAATTAATTTTTGTTTTCCCCGGACCCACAACATATACGCCAACCCCGAGCACGAAACATCTGCAATGGCTACGTTGTTCAATTTTTAAAGGGAGTTTAATCTAATTAATATTTTGTGAAACGTATAATAATACCTTTTAATAACGAATACATGTTCATTTTGATGTCTACTAGTATTTTTCTTCGTCAATTTCTTGGTTTATTCAAATCAGTTTTCAGTGGTTGCCAAATTGTTTTTGTATTAGGTTGAAATGTTTGAACTCCTATCTCTGCAGACACAAATGCATTACATTTTGTTTTAATAAAAGAAAATAATTAAACAAAGTCAATCAATGTATATTACAAAAGTACCTATGTATTATATATTATTATTCTCAATGAACAGTGAATCATTAAACCTTTTTATAAGGGACATCTATAAATTTTTAATTTCATGATGGGAACGAAGATACATTTTTTTATAATCGATTTGTTCAATATTCTATAATTATAGGTACTTTTAGAAGAGGTTATAATATTATAATATGTTTTGATTTTTATAGAGGCCTTTAATGGTATTAACCTATTGTCTCATTATACATTTATCTCGATATATTAATTCAATAATCAAGATGTTTCCATATGAGATCGGTAGTGTTATAATATTTAGGATAGCAATGTAAATATTATTTAATGTTTAAGTGTATCAATATTTCTCACCTCTTTTGTAATTTAAATCTATAACGGTGAAGGTTTTGCAATAGATCTGATTCTTCTGGTATGATTTTTTACTGACAATTCCGAGAGTTTAATAAAAAGACACACGATTTGAGCAGTACAAATTTGATGTTGTCAGGTCAGACTATCGGTCATAAGAGTTTGTTTTGAAGAAATTGAACGGTGTAAGAGTTTAATACAAAATATCACACTGGTCCAAGATGAATGGAGTAGGCACATACTTAGTATACTACAAGCAAACTCACTATTTGCCCGGTCTCGTGATAATATCATCATCGTCAATGTGTTGAAATATAATATGTGATTTTAATAATAATATAATCGTATGATATAAAATAATTACTACGGACGTATACATATTATATAGGTTTATTCGTATTTAATATAGGCGATGAAAATTTGTTAAATTTATAATTAAATTACTGATTGTAATATATGTATAAACTATAAATGTATATAATAATAAATAATAATATATGTGTGAAGTGTAAATACAATTTTCAAATGTTGATATACTGACATTATTATTTATGGAGGAGTAGAACGATCGCATATAAAACATCTGGAATTACAATTCTACTGATTATTAAATTTATTAATACTATATGTCTATTCGATAATAATAATTAGATTTAACATTGATACGTTAACATAATAGTGCCGCGTTGGAGTATTTATTGAACCTAATCTCTTGTGACTAATTTATTGTCATATTAATGATAAGGGTATTTTCGAAGGAGGTTTTATCGATTCCAAGGTATTAAAATAAATTCCGACTGACAATTGTAAAATATGAATCCACCTGCAATATCGATTCATTCGATTCTATTATACAGGAAGCGAAATAAAAACACCAAAATAATAAACACATAATAACTAATGAGTAATGACTACATGCAACAACTCAAACATTGATAGACGTTATTATTTTTACAAAATTGAATAAAATTGTAATTATTAATAATTATTGAAAATAGTGTTTAGATGCCAGAGAGCCTATCAATTTTTTTGATAATCGTCAAAAATGTTAGGTATTGTTATATAGGTGTATATTATATATTGTTTTCGGTTCAAAATTTTTTTTGCTGATTTTATATACTTTCAGTCCTCTTATTATTTTATATAAATTTATATTTTTTATTTAAATACACGGGGAAAATAAATATTAGGATAGGATGCACTTGGTGAATTGTGAGATAAGTTTTGAATGAGACGATACTAAACTGTTAGTAGTTTGTTCCAAATTGGTAATGAAGACGATGATCGTTGCTCATATTTTTAGATTAAATTTACATATTTCATCAATGTAATTATCACATAAATAAACATCACATTTTTGTTGATTTAACAATTAATGTATTAATGTTATATATTAAACAAGCTGCAGTAATCAACCTATAAACGAGTTAGGTGGAATCGATAAGTTTCATACAGCGCGATACAGGTACAAAAGTAATTTCGTTGGAATCAAATGAATCAATATACAACCTTGTGAATGCATAGACCACCACAGCACCATAAAATTCCACTTGACATTGAGAATTATTTAGAGGAATTATCGATGCCACCATTATCGATTTTTTAACAAACGTATTTTGTGTTTTTCTTTTTACAAATTTTTTTTGGTGACTTTTAATGGGAATAATTTGATATATCTGTTTGGATTCTTGTATATAAGACCTGTATGAATAAGTAAATTATTCTGATGTGATTTTGTAAACATAGAATTGAGTTTTGCATGAAAAGATCAACAACTGTTGGTTTTTTGCTCATAACTAATAGAAAAATAAACTCAAACAAAGGGTGGAAATATCGAATACTTATCAATGCAATTTTTAGTTTAAAATCTTAAAATTTTTGGATCATTAGGGTAGTGTGCCATAAAATATCTTATAAATCATTCACAAACTTCTTCTAGGCTAAAAAAAGAAAGTCCAAACATTTCCATAACCTGATTCTGAGCTCACAGTTTTTATTTTTATACTGTTCTATGAGTCCACTTTATTGGATTATTCTCCACCAACTTTGAGTTGGATGAAATCTGCAAATTATTTTTGGGCAACACAAATGGATTCTTCAAAAGCAGCCACAATTGTTGTTGAATTTAAATCAATAGAATTATTCATTTAATTTTCAAAAAACTAAATGCTAATGCATATACGTAAGTATAAGTATACAATAATCATTTTTATTGTTTTGCCGGATAATAAAAATAAACTGATGGAACATAATGCAGATTTATATTTACATGGATTGTAAAAAGTTGGTAAAACAACATAGGGCATGAAGAAAATGTACCATCAACAAATATCGTATTTGACGATTTGGACGAGCTTAGACCCACCAGATTACTGAAAAACACATCATATTGTTCGCTGAATCTGTTTGTATTAAAAATGATTGCTCACCTTCAACAGTTTTTACTTCACTTTAGCTTCAATCACTTCAGCAAGATTTTTTAGAAGGTAGGTACATATTTTTTACGTTATCGATGAATACATTGTTCAAATTGTCAACATTGTCATTTTCAATTTGAGTATTTTTAGTATTTCACGATTTATAATTTTCTGAAGGAATTTCTGGGAAATCGATAAGTTTTTTTTAGGGTTGCTTTGAAAAAAGTTTTTAAAAAATACATTTATCGACTGTTTTTTTTGGTTTTTATGGTCAATATCATATTTTAAAATCTCGGTTGAACATTTTCTTATGCATATATTTGCGTTGCAACTTTTTACTAACAAATGTCCACTTATACACTTTTAAATGCTTCACAAAATTTGATTTAAAAACATTTTCATTTTAATAAATAATTTAATTATTTTGTCATTCATCAGCTACCATGTTAAAATTTATTATTGTGAAATATAATAGTACGAGGGGTTAAAGAAAACAAAATGAATAATTCAGAAATCAATAGACGTTCCGGAAAATTACAAAAACTTATATTCTGAGACGAAATTAAATAAACTAAATGTCATTATTTCATTAATAATATTGTATATTTTCCATAGATTTTCTCAATTTTTGTTTCTATTTATCATTTGAACTTTGAAGAGGGTCAATAATAATATAGGATATTCTTGAGAGTGATTGAGTTTCATTTTTTTCTGTGGATTAGTGATTGCCAACAATTGTCACATGAAGAGTTATTTTTGCCGTGAAAATAAGTCCTGTCAAAACTAGACAAGAATTTTTTATAGTTCTGAAAAGTATTGAGAATATCTTTTTTATTTTTCGTGTTTTTAAAGATGCTGTGCGCTATACATTTTTCAACTGCAACTTCTATTGACACAACTTGAAAGTATATATATTTTTCATATCATTATTTATTATTATATACTTTTGAAAAACTAACATAGTATTTCTCACAACTCATAAGTACTTAATAAATATTATATTAACATAATATATTATTAGTTTACTTTTTACTATCGAATAGTTTTACGTTTCTTTTTTTTTATAATAAAACATGCGAACCTATAGTTGTATACTTATTATAATGAGCTAATTCTCATTTGTTGATATACCAAATCTATATTATGTAGTTTAGTCTTAACCTAATATATTATATAATATCCTATACCAGGTATACTAGTTATGTTGTAATTTTTTTTAGATTTCCTTTTGGTCTTGTAAAATTCAATTGGTAGCGTAAATCATAGGGGATGATGTATGCTTGAATAATTTCAACTATCAGTTTCATTCCCTGAAAGTTTCACTTGTGATGGCGTGTGTTTACTACACTTGAGTAGTTCATATTTCACATAATTCGTATTTTGGTTTAAATTATATTTTTATTTTTTCCACTCTATACATATTACATATACTATATGTCATATAGTATAATATATTATTTCAAATTTTATCAATTGTTGAAAGTCAAAAGCTTTTAAACTCTCTTCTGCACCTTTTGTTTTTATTTTTGTCCAAAAGTGGTGACTAGGTATTAAACTGCGTAGTTATACATAAATTTAATTTCATCATTTCTAAATATAGTTAAAAATTTTAGTGTTTAGAGTTTCTGATGTAAATCTGCAAGTTAGAAAGTAAAAACATTATTTTTTTTATCTGAACTATTTCAATGAAAACAATACACCACATTAAGTTGAATTATTAAACCATATATGTATGCCTCGTAAAATATTATTATATTATTTATATAGTCATTACTCTGTAATACTGTAATGCTGTGTAATGTCCAAACATAACGAAACCCATCTTGTTTCTATTTGTTTTGAAGGTTATGCGTTCGAAAGTTGAAACTTTAAACCATTGCTAGAATATTTATATTTATAAAAATATGTATCGATTAAACCGCTTGTACGTGAATTTCATAAAACTGTAACGTCTCCCAACGAACTGCAAATGTTAAAGTATGATATTTATGTAGCACATAGGTACCTATTTGTATAATATACAGTTTTATTACTCGTAAAAAAATGAAAAAACAAATTACAATTCCGTCGTAATCCAACGGTATAATGTTGTAAACGTATAAAAATGCTTATATTACTGTTTGGTTAGCATAAGCTACATTTCTATGTTTATCCCCCGAGATTCAAAATATGTCCTTCACATGCCTTTGGAAACATTAATCTCGTTATTATTATTATTATTATTATACTCATTCATATTTTATGCGATAAGCTATACTATGTAGATCTTAATATAAACTTATTACTTATATATAAAATAGATAAAATTAGCAACGTTCTTGAGTTATGGCGATTTTCCCTTTTCGAGTTTTTCCATAAAAACAAAATACATAAGACAGTCGTTAAAGCAAATTGCCGCCAAACGCAGATACGGTTTTTATCAATATTGGAATTTTCCGAAACGAATATAGACGTCTATATTGTAGTAAGTCTGTGCGTTTAAGAATATACAGTCTATAAGATCGGTATAGAATAACAATGTAAAAAATATAATTATATGACTAAAAACTATCTACGAAATCGAACAAAAATCTTTTCGAGACGATTGTTCGAATAAAACGTCAAGCACACATACTATTTTGGTACTGGATTTCTTGGAGAACAAAGATTATTTCGTACAATATATGTGTGTGTGTGTGTGTGTGTGTGTGTGTGTGAGCCAGTGTGCGGTGTATCATAACGTGTGATGGTGTTGTACGTCTTCGTATAAAATATTTAAGTATTGCAGTCACGTGTAGGGTGGCGAACGAATATGAAACGTATGAAACAATAAAGCGCGACGGATAAGAATTAACACAGAAAATAATAATAATCAAATAGCGTGACATAATTAACGAAGCAAAGCAGTATATTTTATGTACATGGCAAGTGCGGAAATCGCACGACACGAACTCGCGATGTGATTCTTTTCTTAAAGTTATTAGGCATTTAGAAAATTTACAAACCACGAGGCGCAGCGATGCTAATATGCTATATGTTACTACGAGCGTATTATTAATATAAAATATCATAATACGAGTAGAGGAATAAATACAAAAAAATAAATAAAATATGAACGATTTTCAAATAGAAGGTACACATTCAACTATAAAACAAATTATTTGACTTGATTAGTCTCGTTCATTTTCGATTTCGAGTCTAGCGATGAATCTATTGATTTTACATTGATGTGCTTACTCGTATATTTTTGTGCCTGAAGACAATGCTTTGATTTTCAACTTCACTTCATTACTCTCTCTGTTTATATTCCATTTTATGGTAAGTCGGTATTGACTCCAAAATCTAATAACAATAATATATAATAAAAATATTATATACTACCTATCATAATAATTAGGGCTGGGATTTCGATGCACTTTGAATTATTTTCACAACTATTGTTTTTACTTGCCTGACTACGATATGCTAACACGCAATTCTTAATTATGAAATATATTATTTTCATTTTATTCGAAATTCTCGTATCAATTGGTGTCACTGTCACATATTATACTAATAATACATCTCGCGGTAATTTGGAAAATGTAGGTAGTATATTGTTCTATTTTGGTAGGTAGGTATTAGTGATAGTATTATTAATTATTATAACCCTCCTAAGTCGGAGGGTTTCCACACTGACGGACCTCCTTCCCCGCGAAATTCATGTTTTTATAAATCGTAGTTGTCGTCACCAAATTGACTTATTGTACATAAATTACAGATTGTAAATATATGCTTAAATAAATTAAAATAAAAAAAATTAATATATTTATATTAAAGAAAATGTATTATAATTACCGCTATGAAAAACAAGAATATTTATAATATGTAATGCTCCTATTCTCCAATTTCGATTAAGGGATCGAGTTCTTTTACTACACTACTATACTCCGTGTCTCTGTACATTTAGTTGTAGTATATATTATTATTATTGTTTATAGTATATGTTTGTTGTATAGGTGCAATTTTGATGGAATATTTTGAAGATCGCCGGTAGTTGAAACTCATATACATACGGACAATACGTTATAGGATTTAGCCAAACATAAAAATTTAGGACGGGTAGTAAAATGTTAAAGCTAGTTAGATATCCCTTAAGCTTACTTAAACAAGGGTGGATTTGAGCAGGGAATGTCGTTATTGATTGTTTATCAAACTTTGTTCACATATTCCGAGAGGGTATACGTTTTTCTGGGCCAATGCTTTTTAGGGGCAATAGAAAAGCTGTACAAAAGTTTCACGTATAGCACTTTTTTAGATTAAAAACTATTTAACGTGGATTGTGCTTTAGATGGGTCGTTTAAAAATTAAACTAGCTATTATTTTTTCACGAAATAGCAAATTTATTATTTTTTGTGTATCACTGAGATAATTAAAGACAATGTATCTTTAGTTACTATCTGTCATGTACCATAGTATCGTTTTCGTATGATAATAATATTGAAATAGTGTTATCTGTACGAGGTATAAATCTATTTTTAATTATTTGATATCATCGCTTTTCAAGACTAATATAAATTTAAAAATCGTTCTTCACAAACTTCATCACTTTAGTACATAATGTGATATATATGTATGCGCAGGACAGTAGACAGCTCATGAGTCACATGTTATATGATTTTTTTTCAATCCTTTAAAAATATGTTCAGTAATTTAAATTTCTTTATCCACTTAATTCAGTAGTAACGATGGCAAGAGCCGATAGCTCGGAGTTGTCAATATATCAATTAAAAACATTGTACTAAAAGTCGTACCAAATCGATTTAACTAAGATATTGTACGCAATGTTCAACGCTGTAGAATGAACAAACGCAATTATTCCTGGATAAGTTTAATTTTTAATCGATAAAGAAAAAAAAAGCCACCTAATAATACCTACTAAGCGATTATTTGCGGTCGTTGTAAAAATGATGATGCAAAAAGGCATATCGCAAATATTATTATAATAACATACTGCGTCGCAACGGCGGGGGCGAGTCGGCGGATCGGACCCTGGTCTTACTATGGTCGGAAATAAAAAAAAATAAAAGGGTATATTATTATTTTGTGTCATGTACCTTATATCGTGTGTGTGTGTGTGTGTGTGTGTGTGTGTGTGTGTACCACTCTCGGCCCCAAATGGGTTGGCACCGGCACCAAATCGATATTCATCGGGTGAGTCATCGTCTGCGGCGGCGAGCAGGGGTTGCAGTCGTCGGTACATAATATGGTCCGTCACTGGGCGGAGGGCGGAGTGGGCGGACTCGGCGCGCACGACAATCGAGCTTTTTCGGCGGCTATACACCGCGATAATAATACAATATAAGCCATATAGCCTGTACAGCGTGCACTGCACCGAGACATCGATGTCTAGCGGTATCGCCGTGGATTACAATCGAACGATTGCGACCACCGGCCGCGCAAATAAGGGACGACGACGACGCGACGAGTGCACACACGCCACTATCGTCGACGCGCCGCCGCCGATCAGTGTGTGTCTCGAGGGCTATGCCGTGACATGAACGCCGGCGAATCTTACAAGGTGCTCGTGCTGGGCGACTCGAACGTCGGCAAAACGTGTCTGATGCACAGGTTCTGCGACGAGACGTATTACGACACGTACATATCGACCATAGGTAAGTTTCTGCGAGCAGGTGACCGGATTCGACTGGCTTGTGAATTTTATTTTGGTCGGTCCAATCGCTATATAATATAGGTACTATTTTAATGTGCGACTAAGTGTATAAATCGTATTTAAAAAAAAAACATAACGAGTGTGATATCCTCTTCGGTTCTGATGTATGTAGTCCAATATCGGCCACCGATCACAATTAACTTACTGTAGGTGTAATTATAATGTTATATACGAGTACTCGTATACTTAATCGTCCGCAGTGATGCGATGATCTTTAACAATGGAATCGCTCTAGCACATACAATATACTGCCATTTACATAATATTTAAATTCGTTTGTAGTACTCCGAGCTTGAAATCTCTCCTCTCAAACTTCTCAGGTGCAGTAGTTAGTGTGTATTGCTTGTGTCTCGTGTACTGTTTTTTGATATAATAGCAGTTCTGCAGCTGTATTGCGTTTGCGTATTGGAATCTGCACAGAGTCCAAACATGTATAGGAATAAAAACAAAAAAAGTGAGGTGCTTTTGTCCCCAATGCCTCCGACAAAACCTACCTATCTAGTTCTTAGCGAATTGTCAATATTGTCACGACATAGGTATTATGAAACAATCACCTCAAATATAAAACAATTTAGATCATAAAATAAGTGATTAAATAAAGAATGCTAAACATATTAAACATTGATTTGAATAAATAAATATATTTTTGAAAATATCTTAAAATGGTTCAGGAGAGGCCAATTATTTTCCCTTAGCCCTCACCTCCTATTATTACGAATATGATTTATGAAGTGTTTTCGACAAACCAAATAATATTTCAACGTCACACACCGCTAAAAACCTGTGTAGGACTCTCAATAATAATGATAATATACTTCTTCCGTTGATTGCAGAAACTCGAAAATTGTCAAGTATTGAAAACAATTTACTGGTCCCTAAAATTTGCTGCCAACTCTGCATGTACGCCATACATAATATACTAGCACGTCATTAAATTCATCAAAGCCATGACCTTTGCGCGCAAGCACCAAAATATTATGTCCTTGCTGTAACCTACATCCGCAAGTACGATGTGTATATAAATACGTGGTTATATACTTCATACACCACGGTTACCGGGTAACATATTAAACCATAATATATTCAACCACGGGTGAGAGTATAATAAGCATTCGTGTATAATATATTTTTAGCGTGCAGTAACCATAAACAACGGTATATTACATTGTATTAATTTATATATAGGTAACACGCCTTATATGTGTACATTTATATTATTGTATATTTTTCAAGTGTTTTTTTGCGATCTGTTCACGACCATCACACACACATTTATAGTATGATGAGAATTTTATTATATGCTCCACCGTATGGTTCGGAGAGGAAACAATGCGATCGATTGTCGTAACACTTGTAACAGTATCCCTTTTGACTTACGTATGGGTATTAAGATGAATATAATTTCGAAAATCCCGATACTCTTTTGACTAGGTGCCTACCACATAATAAACGCATATGAGTATATGGTAGTGTCCTCGTGGTTTCGTAATGTGTGTCGAAAAATGGCTATAATATGTGTACCTGTATAGATAAAATGTATCGATTTTATATATTATGCTCATTTTATATCGCATACGAGTGATGTGACTAAATAACAATTAATTCTACCTACTCAAACTCAATTATCATCGGTGACAACTAAATATTATATTATTTTAAACGGTGTCACCAAATGATTAATGCGGCGCAAAGGGACAAACAATCATATTCATGTAAAATATGCGAATTTATTAATAATATACGAATGTATATTGCACATATCTTTTGGATCCAGGTCTCGTCGTGCGAAAGTCGAAACCGGCTAACGTAACTCAACCAAAATCCCGTTGGGGATTTCGCCAAAGGATGTACACCGTATTAGATAGGTATATGGTAATATATTACGTGGATGCTGTTGCTGTATAAGCTTCAGCGAAACCTTTGGTAAAAAAAATATATACACAGCCACACAGGGTGTTTCATCGTATTCGTCCCAGTCAATACATTTTTTTATACTTAATAATTTAAAAGTATGACTTTGAAAGAAGATTATTACTATAGAGATTCTGCTCAGCGCAATTAGAAAAAAGTCCATAATATTTTTTTTATAGCTAGGCACAAAATAAAAAAATCATTTTCTCGTGTTCTGTAAAACTTTGTGATTGGTTCTTATTTAAAGAGATAATAAATTATGTAAATAGTTTAAAAGTTTAATTTATTACTATAAATCACATTAAGTATTCAAATAGTTATGTAGACGAGTAGAGGTAGGGTATAAGGGTAACGAGGACAAACACGGCGAAATATTATGTATAGCTGTATTGTGAACTACATACATACAAATTTAACTATTTACAATATTATCCTATAAATTATTCCATTTTAATCCAAATCGAAACATAAATATTATAGAAGAAAAATGCCGGTTTCTTTCAAAATTTAAAATCTCATTAAACCATCGCTGCTACGTTATTACGTAACAATGTTGTATATTATAACTACTGAAGACTATGAGATATTTATCTTTTCATAGTGTCGTAAAAGCATTGATTATGAATTGTTTTAAATATTTACTTAATAAATTCGTACTTGGGATTAACTAACATTCAACGATGATTTTATTGTATAGCACTTGACGCTTAATCCCCGTAGATATCAGAATGACGGAAAACAGATAATGATTGTTATTCATTTTAAAAACCATCATTGTTGTATTAACTACCTATAATAATATGAAACTCGTTCACCGTGCACGGGATGTACCTATTACTCATAATAAACCAATGTATAAATATTACAACCATACAGAAAAATTGCCCCAGAAATGCCTGAAAATGTGTTCGAACAAAATTAATTTAATTTCTTTTTCAAAAGTCCAAATTGAATACGAATATACAGTATTTAGGCGTTCCCATACGTGATCCGAAACTACAGAACAGGGCGCCTAGAAATGTACAACTCGTACACATCTTTCTCGATGATTATTTTCTTTTTATCACAATGTTTTGTGCTTCATGTTTCCTATACGATTATCATTAGATTCTGTGGTTCCCTTGCGGTAATTTGGTTCCTTCACAATGTGCAGTCATGCAAATGGATAAAACGGGTAAATTGCACCCATTAATGTCGTTACACAACACAATTTTATTTATATGTACATTGTACGCCCACAGCCGAACGCAAAGCCTTGTTAAATGTAAAATGTTGAGGCATCCTCGAGAATATCATACAAAAACTGTGTAGTTATTCTAATTTATAGCGATCATAACAATAATAATATTTTCTTCTGCTTCGGGTTCCAGGAGTCGACTACAAGCAAAAGATAATTCAGTTGGACGAAAAACCAGTAAAGTTACAAATATGGTAAGTCATAGCAATACATAATATTGTACAGAAACAGATGTGTTTAAATTTTAAAACAGTTAAAATTAATATCTATAGTTATATGATCCTTTCTCAACCTAATTATAACCTAAAATAACCAGTAAGTATAGTATCGATACAACATTTTTTTTCCAGCATTATTCGAGTGTATAATATACATATTTTTAATATGTGCTATGCACAATATAGCTCAAGAGGTAGAGGAAGTCGTTTTCGCAAAAAAAATATTATCAAAATACCAATTTAACGCAATAGAATATAAGCACAACTACCGATAGGTTTTTAAATTCAAAGAAACTGCTACAAAATTAAATTCACCCATTTGAGCATGGCCCATCGGCCACGGCTTGTGAAGGTGTATTTAATGTTTTAGGTGTTTTAATGAAAATACTACTTTTATATACAATATGCACTGAAGGAATATTTGGTCTTCGAATTTCGAATAGTTTTCATCTCATAAAATGTATAGTCAATTTATAGAATTTATATTTTAGTTGAACCATTTTTCATAATATTTTATGTTTAAATTATTTAATTTTGTACACAATAAAAAATTAATAAATCTTGATATGTTATAATAAATCTGATGACGTTTCGGCGTAGAGAATCAAATGATTTTTCTATAAAACACAAGAGTGTTGTTTTAAACAGTTTATACTCTATATTTTATACATTACATAATAGGTATGCTAATTAAATGTACATTAAAAGTGTTAGTTTAACACGCACATTGTGCTGTGTATAGGCAAATACAATTTACACTGAACAATTATTGAGTTGCATTATAATAACGGTTCGATTATTATAATATTTTTTTAAACATTTTTAACAAATTATTGTAGGTAATATTCGTTTTTTTCATGCACATGAATACATTTTAACCTATATTTTTGTGATATCACATTGTGAAGTTGTTACCACGATAGTATACTTTTACACATTTTACCTACCAGCTACTTGTTACAATACTATTAGTTAAACCTTCTGCAGTTGTTGTTTACTGTTTTTACTCCAAGAAAATAAGAATTGTAGACTGCAGTTGTAGACACTTACTATTTGAAAAAATATTCATACCTATCTGAGATATCGTATTATTGCGTAATATTATTATTAACATTCAAATCAATCATTAATGTCAAGTGTAGAGACCATCGAAAGTGGTGTTTGATATTTCTTTCATATTTATTCGGAATGTATTTCACTGCATATCACGGATGATTGCACTAAAAATAAATAAATATCAAGTTCATATATTTATTAAAACATACGAAATACTTTATCTTTAATATTTTGTACGAGACAGCTATCCTTGATTGAAAAAATAAAAACTGAATATTAATCGATCGCTTAAAATGGAAATCACTATAGCGATACAGTCGCGACGTAATAATATTTAATTTACATCCAATATTACAACTGAGTGGTTTATATACTTATAGCATAGCTAGGTCATTCGATGCCACAATGATGTGTACAGAATATGACATAAAGTCAATACTTAATTTCGTCACGGTTGGCTGGGATAAGTGATTTTTCACTAAATTATTAGCAGTTGAGAAATTACAGTGTTCTGACACAGTGACATAATACGTTTTTCATACTTCAGTTAATAATACGATATTAGGAATAAAACTAAACGTCACTCGAAAAGTCGTGTATTAAATAATTTATACCCACTAAATTAAATTTGCATTTTTAAAATAAATAAAATAACTATCTTACATTTGTCGATAGTAATACAAACAGTGAGTTGTACTATGTAGGTAGTTATGTATTATTCCGTTATATTTTTTTTATCTTTAGATGACACTAGTCGACTATCAATGTATGATATGTATATGTTCATAGCATTAATAAAATCGATAGGTATTTCGTACATAAAGATTCAATTAGGTTTATGTGTTGGAATATCTGCCATAACAAGTATATTGATAAAATAGTTTAATACTTTTATTATTGTTCTGAGGAAATTGTGTAATTTCTGAGAAAATGAAAAAAAAACCTTCGCAAGCAAACGCAAACAAAAATTTTTGGTGTATCTATTTGATGTATAATACAATATAATACGATAATAAAGTACAATATAAGACACCCTTGTCTTATACAACATCAATAAAAAAGCAAAGTTAACTACCGAACGACAAGTGTAAAAATATAACCAATACAAATATAAAATACAGTAGATGAAATACAGTTATGTGAGTACTATTCAACCAAGCTCTGCAGTATATAACATAAAAATTATAATATTATGTTGTAAATTACAGATATTTCTATTTTCAATGATTTATGGTGTATAATACATTATAATGTTTACACGACAGTGTAATAAAATTTATTACGGTTGTTAAAACGATATCTAAAGGAGTTTAAATAGGTTTTATTCATATCGAATCCGATATACGTTTTTAAATAATAATATTCAAAAGATAGTGAAAAAAGCGTCGTAGATATAATGAATGATTTTTTTTAAAGGTTTAACACACTCATTCATTTGAAAAGTTACAACTTTTTAAAACAACATTTTTCGAAGAAAAAATAAAATAAAATATTTATATCATTTTTTTGGTGATCTGTTATACACTCGTATGTGTTTTGCTTATTTGAATAACAGTATACATTTCATATTCTAATGTGGCAATGTTAACTATTTTTCTGAGAATTTTGATACTCAAAAAATTAATTTTGAACTTGTACAGTTAATTAGTTAGAATTAAGTTAATTACTTTCAGTATTTTAACTTACTACTTGTGCAACAGGGCTTGTATATGGCTATATATAACCTGTTGATTAAGAAATAATCTGTTGAGAAAATAAAATTGACAATAAATGGTTATTATGATTTAATAATGTTCAACTAAGCCGAAAATAGTTAAATGTTGACATTTTCAAATTTTTATTTTATCGTCACTAGGAGTTGTTGGATATGTAGGACTTAATGAAATGTAGTAAAAGGGGCAGATGTCAAGGGAATTGAGAGTGAAAGAAGCATATTAAGCTAAAAATTTATTTTAAATATATGTTTGACACGGAGTTGATCATTCGCAATGTAGAGTATGGCAGTGGGCCATGAAATATAATATATTGAATAAGTCAAACTTAATATAAAAATGAACTGTTTTTGTTAGTTGTTTATGATGTTTTTTTTTAGTATTTTGGGTTTGCCCTCCTTGCCATTTTAAAATCCTCGCTATGCCACCGATAAAAGGGTGCCAAATAACCACACTATATTCGAAAGGAGGTCTGACAAATGTACAAAGTACTGAGATGGATTTAATACTTTTAGTACAACGTTTAATGAATCCTATAAGACTTTAAGCTCTTTATTAATGATTAAATTTACATCGACGTTTTATGACTTTTACTTCGATAGAAATCTAATTTACAATTTTGGATTCAATAACCGAATATAGCTAATAATACAATTATATGTTGCTGAATATTCGTTTTAAAAAATTTAAAGCTGATCAAATATTTTCATAATTATTTCAATCTAAAATTTTTTTTAATAAATTAATTTGTTAAGCTAATTTTTTAAAAATATTTAATAATATTATATCATTGATTGCCTAATTATGTTGAAGCTTTCTGTTATTTATATAATAATTCTTTAGCTATATGTAAATAAAAAATATTTTGTTAGTAATTTTAGACTATAATGTTATATGATTAAGATTTCATTCAAAATGATTAGCACATTTAAACTTAAATTCCATACTTTTAAAGTTGAAAGTATGGAAATTAGCAAAAGTACATCAAATCCACTTCCGAAAAATCCTGAGCACTGCTTGAAACAGCAATGGGATAGAGACATGTATACAAATATACATGCAAATAATAATAATAATATGAGAAAAAAAACAATTTCAAGTTAAAAAATGTTCCTCCGTCTCACTCCCGGTAATGTACATGAAAGACTTTGGCCTGAAAACCTATTATAAAATAAAAAGCACAATAATACACAAAAAGTACTAGGTCGTGCCTGCTCATAAATGATAATCTCTCGTCACTAATCATTATGAGCTATCAAATTAGCTTTTATTATACTAATTATATTGCATAAAGATAATTTAAAAAAAAATTAAATCATAAAAAAAATCATATTGGGTGTTGTAAATGGATAAGTTTTTAAGTTTATCTACTGGTGTAAATATGAAAAAAAATGTATTTTAGTACGAAATTAATTTATTGTGCCATCCAAAGATTGTAATATTATCAATAGTTTTTTTGTTTATAGTAAAAAGATTTGTTTTTTTTTAATATAATACCTATTATCGTAGCCAATATTTACGATTTAAATTTAAACGTGTTTGATGACTTTCATAAATTTATCATAAAGCTAAAAATACAATCGCATTATTTATTGGACCCATCAATGATAATAATAAATTATTATATTTACAGGGACACTGCTGGGCAGGAACGATTCCGGACACTGACTACGGCGTACTATCGGGGCGCAATGGGCATATTACTCGTTTATGACGTGACGAATCTTGATTCATTCGACCATTTGACGTATTGGTTGAAGAATATCCAGGAGGTGAGTTCTGACTTCTTACGCCTATCGTTTTGATGGTGTAATAATCGAGAAACCGACGGTCCTTTCAATTGTTGTTTGTGCATTCTTAAATTTAACGATTGTGATATGCTTTAACATTTAGAACGCGTCGCCGGACGTCATCAAAGTTTTGGCCGGTAACAAATGTGACAACGAGACAGTGAGAGCCGTGGATAAAGCAGACGGAGAAAAAGTGAGTATTAATATTACCTCCATAGGAAATCGTTACACAGTGCTCGGTCCAGACGGTTAAGTACATTTTTCTGGATCTTAAAATAATCTGTGAAGACAAATAAATCAGTCGACACACCATAATATGTGTAATCTGTGCATATCTGTGTCTAATTATTGTATTACTCATTACTTATAGATAGCAGAATGCTACGATATGCCGTTTTTCGAAGTCTCGTGTAAGATGGACGTCAACGTGGAAGAGGCGTTTCAGGCATTGGCCAAAATGATCAAAGAACGTTCCCAATACTCTGTGAGCCATTACAACACTCAATAATCATACGATTAATTTATTATATGACTTGATTTTGGTATTACGTAATAAATTACTATGTGGCACAATCGTATAAAGTTAAATATAAGTCAATATTGGTAGATAATTAACTACTCATTGGCCTCATTCGAAGTTCGATTTTTATGATTTTTATGTACCAATTAAAATTCTCAGGAATAATATAAACCTAAAACTGTATTTACAAATATAAAACATCGTCAACTGAATAGTAAGTAACGTTAAAAAAAAGTAAATAAATATATTTTATAAAAATTTACAATATCGTAAGAAGTTTTTTGTTAATGATTTCCAAGAAAATAAGTGTTTAAAAATTCACCCTGTAATTTGTATATTATATTACCTATGTAAAAAATAATGAAGATTTCGCGTACTGCTCATATATTATATAATTTTGTATAAGCCTCAAGGCCACATTTCTAACTTATGCATATTATTCCATATCGCTGAATTAATTTAACTTTATAATATGATTGTGCTCCATAGTTATATACTCATATCTTATATCGAAATCACTTCATATAATTTCTCATTTTATGGTTACTATAATTAACTCTGATATATGAAAAAGGTACTATTTAATTTTTCAGTAATTTTCAATCTACTTGATTGCCTAGAATTGAACAATCTATTTTTTAAAAACCAATTTGGAGTTTAGACTGGGTAGATGAGTACATCTTTATCGTGGTTATAATTTTTAACAAAACATGTATAAACAACGCTCGATAGACGATGGTCGTGGACAGTATTGCTGCCGCCCATAAATTCCTAAAAAAATTTCCATCCAGCGATACCCCCTCTCATACCCACTGAATACGTCCCCGTCTACAAATGCATATATTAGGTTACATAATGTTTTTTCCATTTAATTTTTATACTTATTTGTTAGTTAATGCGTATTTTATATTGTTTTTAGGGAGCGTTTGGGTTGAGAGACGAAACGCCAAGAGAGAAATGTTCGCCACTTTTCGAAAAAGCTTTTGCTGAATCTACACGGAAGTGCAGTTCCTGTTAATGTCCATAACTGTAATAATAATAATAATAATAATAATCATAACGGTCTAGCTATTTATATTTATATGAAAACCTAAAAGCCTATTAATTATAATACACGTGTTGGCTTATAATCGCGCCTATAAAACGTCGAGAAATGAATAAACGTGCTGAAACGAAGGAACTTAAAAGTTGTTGATTAGTGATTACTAATTAGTAATTACTACAATATAAATAGTAAAGATATAATATAATACGCATAATATTATAAAGTTATTACAATATTACAATAAATATACTTAAATAATACGTAATGAATTGAATTTATTACCTATATATAGTATATCTATACCTACAATTATTTTTTGTAAAGTCGAAATGCACAAAATCATTATTTTACCGTTAGAGTAAAATTTTATTTTCCACGAAATATATCTCTCTTATATAATACATATGAATATATTATTTTATTAATACCTATTAATTCGTTCTATCAAAAACCGAAGTAAATACATAAAGACTTAATGTGCTTTGATATTCATAGGTAAACGGGGATTTCCCGTTTCCTTCAAAATTTGAAATTTTCAGCAAATTTAAAAAAAAAATTTGATTCCTGTCTTCGCCAATCGTCCTGATATCGTGCAACCATTATAATACATATTATTATAATTTATATTCCATATATAGTATTGGAATATCATCCATATTATTTTTAATGCATAAAATAAAGTCTTAACTTGAAATAATTGAACATAGTTTATATGAAAACGTTAAATACTGAAAAATAATATAATAGGTAACTAATAACTTAAATAAAATCTGTACTCTAGTTTTAATCTTATTAATTTATTTACTATGATTCCATATGTAAGGTATATGTGGGTGTTATGACTTGTAAACCATTAAGATTTTCTTTTCATCCCATAAATATGGAATATAATTTAATAGTTTTGCCATAGCAGGTAGATTGGCGGAAACTGGCATCGAACCTTTTTTTAAATTGGCGGAAACGAACGATAGCGCAAACAGTTATTTCAAATTTTGGCGGAAATGGTACATGCCCACGTAAACAGTGAGTCATCGACTAATGTGACAGGGTCAGATATTGTACTTGTTCAGACATAACATTTCAATTTTAAATATTTACTGTTGACATAATTTTTTAAACAGTTTATATTATATTATGTAAAGTCGAACAAAAATAATAAAATATAATCACGATATTATGAATACATATAGCTACGAATCTTTCACGTTTTGCCTTTTTATATTATAATATTGTTTCTTATATTATTATTATTATTATTATCATATACATCTATATAATATTTTCCTGCGAATTCACATGTATTTTTTAAAAATGTCTATTTTGATTTATACCTGTTTGATGTTGTATACCTAAAATACATTTTTGTTTATTGTAATCCATTATTAATCCATTGATTAATTTAATAAATTGGGAACATAATACAATTTTTGAAATAATAATCATTATTAGTTGGTTTATTATTATGTTGTACCTATTTACTTTTTTCAATAAAAATAGGAAACATATTATATACTGTTACCAAAATAATTGTAATACTGATGACATTCAGTCAGACAATTCATCAGTTTTGATTTTACTGACAAAAATTGGTTATCTTAGTGTACTTAAAAGTATATGCTTTACTTTTGATTTAGAACATGATTCAAAATAATATCGACTTAGTATAGTGTTAAGAAACAACTAACAGTAATAACTAATTAATGTTATTTTCGTAAAAAGTTATTTTTCTGAAAATTCGTGTTTTTCGATGTTGAATGAAAAGTTTTCAATCTACAGTTCACAGTTAGATTTAAACGAAATACAATTATTAAATTGTATTACAGCAATATAAATGGCTTTTTTGACTACTATAATATAATCTTTAATATACGATTGTTTACCGACCACGAGACTTAAAACTCAATTTTTTAAGCATTTATTACAAATGGTCCTATGTCAATTCTAATATCAGCTGTTGGGTGATTACGAACTTCAAAATTCAAAAACGATTTTGAGTACGAATGATAACTCTATAAACACGGCAAAATTCGTGTCGATTGCTCAACCATTTTATTCTCATGTAAATACTGATTATTTGTTACTTGTTAGTTGTTACATTATATCATCTGTATAAAAGCTATAAAATAATACAAATTTAAAAAATGCACAACTATAAATTGTATAAAAAAAGGCACTCTATTATTTTTTAGACATAATATAGTTTCATGTGGGTAACTATTTGGATATATATTATCTCTGTGTGCATATTTTGCGTCTCGAGACTGACTCTCTTTTCTATAGTCCTATATCTGTAACTCATAGTATTTTTCCTTGTGCTTGTCAGTGAAAATCACAAATGTATGATGTCTTTACAAATGTTTATATACATACATCAATGCAGAATATTATCGATTGCCTACATTAATTATTTTAGACATTTTTTTTAATCTATAAATTGTATTTACTGCACAGTGTCTATCAGAGTTATTGTAATATTCACTACATTTCAACAATATTACTGCCATATAATATTAAAGAGACTTACATGTCGCATTAGACATACTTATATGGGTTCTTGACATAAAAAATCTCCAAACTAATATAATTTTGTTGAGAGTTTTGTGCAGAGTGTATTTGAATGTGAACATTAACATTGTTAATAGTACCGGATCTAGGGGGGGGCCATCCGGGGCCCATGCCCCGGGCGCTTATCATAGAGGGGCGCAAATTTCAAATTTTAAACTCATCATTTTTATTACATTTTAATTTTTTTTTGAAATTGAATCTTTTTTTTTTGAATTACACAAGTATTTCAAATTAAATAGGTTTAATTCAATATAGTCACACTGGTAATGATTAAGAAAAGACATTCGACATATTATATCATATTATACTTTCGATTTTATGATTTTCCTGAAAATAGCCAAAAACACAATCGGGGCAATCTGCAATTAAGATAAACTTATGTTGTATAGTGTATACTATATTGTATCGGTCAGTCGTAGACGTAGACGAACTAATTGCACAGCGATAAGCCGATAACCCAGCATTGCGTATTCGTGTGTGCGTATTTTCTGCTATTTAACAGTTTTATTTATTTATTATAACAGTGTTTAGCGTTCACTTCACTGTTCACTGGACGGTATCTAATGAATGTTACAGTTTAAGTTTAAGTGTTAAAGTTTATTTTTTTTGTGATGGAACAGTCTAAAAAAAAAAAATTATCTGGTTGTGAGTTCCGGAAAAAAGCTCTCGAAAAAAAAAAAGAAAATGAGCGAACTTCGGCGTATTTTCATAATTGGCTTGGTAATACTAACACACAATGTAGCACAGGTTAGAAATTATTTATAATTACTATTAGATCTGTATTGTATTATAATAATTAATGACGTAATTTAGTATTATTATTATTTATTACTATCGATATTATAATACGTACTATTTTAGAATTTAATACCTAACCGGGAATTTGAAACAGTTATAATTTCTAAAATAGTAGTTTTAGAAAACTTTGTGAATAATTTGTATAATAAATTACTATGGTATATTGAAATAATACATTACAATAAATATCTAATATTTTATAGAAAATGAAGAAAATGGGACAGATGTATAAAAGGATGAGAATACTGAGAAATGTAGTTCTGGGGTAATTGTCGAGGAAATTAATTCTGATCATAACAAAGCTAAAAGTCTAAATGTATCCGAATTTATGTCATTGAAATTAAGTGAAAATGAAACTTTGGATTTTAAAGATTGTGGTACATGGCCTGAAAAAATAATAGATTCTCAAAGAACTCATATTGTTAGAATGAGAATGAACTATATTGAAAAATTGGATCTTACTAGATCTGAAAGAGAAGGGCGATCTGTTAATGTTTCTTGGTTTTTCAAAAATCTTGTTAATGGAAATCAATGTCGTCGAACTTGGCTTAGCTACTCCAAATCAAAAAATGCATTATTTTGTGTACCATGTAAATTGTTTTTAAATTCAAATGAAAAAAATATGTCAAAATTAGCAATAGATGGGTTTATTAATTGGAAAAAAGTGTCAGAAAGAATACCAGAACATGAAAATTCTAATATTCATAAAAAGTATTTTTNTTATATGGGTTCTTGACATAAAAAATCTCCAAACTAATATAATTTTGTTGAGAGTTTTGTGCAGAGTGTATTTGAATGTGAACATTAACATTGTTATACGATCAATACTAACAACGCGCGGTGAAAGTGCGAAAAATAAAATCCGTTTTTCTCCTAACTCAGGCTATATATTATAGACACTTAAGCTCCAAGTTATAGGAGTCTGGCGGTACGCGTATAATGAGGTACTCACAAAGTCACAAAGTTTATCAGATAAACTGCGCCGACAAAACGATAGTGCAACGCGCTCGTCTCTATTTTCAATCAGCTCGTATATCGATCGCCGTTTAAAATTCAAATAAAAATACGGTTTCCTTAAATACGCTACGATCAAAATATTCACCTACCGATCGGATATATCATTCGAACGACGTCGCAGCAGTCGTCCGTTGTATGTGTACTGCTGCAGGTGAGTATAATATGCCTTGGAGTAGTTATTGTTCTGTAGACTACAAAAAAATGACACTGGAGATTACTGCGATGTGGTCTGCAAGATACACCGGTGCAGTTGACTTCCGAACGGGAAATAATGACAACGATTGATAACGGTGACGGAACGTGTGTATTTAGTCGGTCCGGCGTTCGCACTGTGCAATATGTTTTTGGTGAGTCGGTGACCTGACTCGTACTATTCGGAGGGACGTGGATACTGCAGGCGAGGAGATTAATACTAACCTAACTAACCTAACCTTTTCGGACCGGAAATGCACAAGACTTACTGGCCGCGAGCACTGCGTTCGTCTCGGCAGTGAGTTATCGCCGGCGGCATCCCTACCACAAGAAAAAAAAAACAAAAAATAAAAAACCAATGAAACGTCGTTTTTCAGTTGTGGGCCATTGTCTTCTGTACACATTGCAGCGGCCATCGTGAATCGCTTGCTAAGGATATTTTATACTGTGTCTTAGTCTTATATATTATTTCCAAGATGTTGAGTAGTGTTATTGTGCCGTCGCGGCTGTTTTTGCAATTGGTTTTATACTCGTGGTGTGTCCCTTTTTTCCTTCTCCAGAGTCAGCGCTGTGGGCGGATGTCGCATTATACGTCTATATGTAGTGTATGTATATTGTTGTTGTATTCGAGTAAACCAATAACGAGTGTAATTTGAGTCCGTTTTGTTTACAATAATATTTGTTCATATAGGGCTGCTCGTCTGTTAACAAATTATACAACTAACACATATTGTTATTGTTATTGTTATTATTATAGGCACTATTATCTATATTCTGTGAATGCATATCAATATTATTGTTTATATAACACTATTATGTCACACATTATAGTATCTTATTAAAATGTTATTCTTATTTAATAATTATCATCAGTACGCATGTATTTGGGTTAGTTGAAAAACTGTATGCTAGTATCGTATGTAATAATTAATTAATTACATATTATTATTATTATTTTGGTTTGTATTTAACTGTACACCTAATAATGAGTATGCGTTTTTAAGAAAATCGAGTGCTTTTAATGCATCTTTTTATTATTTAAATGTGTTGATTAATTTTCTTATTCGATAGAGTTGAAATTTGTACAAAATATTCTCTAAATTTTGAGAATATTTTCACAATTTTAATGATATTACAATGATAAAGATTAGGCTTCTAAGGAAATAGGTCTTCCGTATAAGTTATTATCAATAATTAAGTTCCAGACCATAACCTTAGTAGTTGGTATTTATTATGCCAACTATCAAGGCTCCATCATTTATTAGGAGCAGTGTTAATGTAAAGAAACACATTTTCATTTTTTTCTATACATATAAAAATGGAGCCTAAATGTATAACAATTCATCAATTGAGAACGGCTGGGCCGATTTGACTCAATTTTTTTTTAATTGTTCGTAATTGTTAGGATAAGGTTTATACGAAAAACTCTTTTTTTTTTTAATTTTTTTGATGATTTATCTTTTGAGTTCCGGAATGTTTTTTCTAATTTAAAAAGCTACAGCAAGCTTTAGCTTATAAAAATGTCCATACAACATAATTAATCGTTAAAATGGGACCCCCTGCCAACACCAAAAAAATGGATTAACATGGAGAAATATGTATTGAATAGTAGGTATTAATATTATGTTTCACTATATAAAGTAAAGTTTAAATTTTGTAAAGTGATAATTTTCGTATCGTTTTTATTCCGTTCGATTTTATTTATAGCCGTAAATACCCTCTCTTTACATAGAACGCAATAGTCGATAGTAGAGATAAAATTTTGGTTTTATCTATATGAAATATGATTCTTCGATTATTACGACTTCATTTTCCATTTTCCGTTGTTGGCGTTACCAGAAAAACTGCGTGAGTACAATTTTATTTTACTAATCTAACAAGATACAATCCTGGATGACTTAGATTCATAATTGGACCCGATAGGTCCGACCCGGGGAGTTGCTCAAAGGAGATTTTAAGATTTACGAAGAAAATATTTGTTTATATATACGGTTGCTATTGGTTATGGGAGAAATACAAATATATTTAGTAGAAATTGTTTTTTTTTTTTTTTGTTTATTGGTTCCCTGCAGTGGTTCATCGGGTAGATCAGGTATAAGCATTCATACAATTTAATTTTCGCACATTGCCTACCAAGGTAACTAAGTTGCACTTATATAGCCGCTCATCGGCGTGTCCACAATCAAATTAAAAATAAAACATATGATTTATATAAAGTACTCATCAAGCGGGGTTCAAGTCCAATTCGCAGTAGGTAGGCATAATATACTGTTTTATCACCATCGAGTCACATAATAGGTATAGAGTTAGCATTTTCAACGGGCAACAAAGTGCACGGGATCAGCTGGTTTATTATAATTTTACTATTATTTGATTTTCAATAAAGGCACGAATCCCTACGAAAACAATGACTATTATTTTTCCTCACAAATATTGATGATATATTCATGATTTTTTTAATTAATATTGAGAGTATACGATGAGTATATGGACATTGGACATATACCATATTACAGGGTTTCCATAGAAACACTACTGGCAATATATCACATACTATAAAAATAATACAAAACCATAATCATACAAGTAACTAGTAATCACTAATCACTATTCATATTCGAATGTACTTTCATTTCTAAATTTCTAAATGGTGTATTTTTTCCAAATCAAACGTAACGGTTAAATAAGTATAAAGTAAATAACATACGTTTAACGCTTTTATTAATTATAAATTATAAATTAATACATATCAATGCCAGTATATTATATATCATCCTATTATAATCAATTGCACCTAACGATAATGTTTACGGAGTAGTCAATAGACTATACTGGCATATATGGACTTGGAGGGTAGAAGTTACAAACTTGAGCGGTACTCTGCCAATCTCATCACCAAAGTTGATTTAAACAGGATTTTACACATTAATACTTTATATTTTATACAAACTTTATATTTACAATATACATAGTCATAGACCACAGTCATTAACATCTATAACACTATTTTTAGATATTACTCAATATTCATTGATGACTTTATCTGGCACAATTTTTATACGTCAGTAACATAGTGTATTCTTACCCGTACTTTAAATTTCAATAAGTATAGTTTATGAGAAAGTATAACAATAATAGTCAACAACAGCGTAACACAAATATGAATATAAACTGCAAATGTGTTCTGATTAAATACTAATTAACAGTTACAAACCAAAAAAACTATAAATTATTGTTAAGTACTAAGTGCAAAAACAAATACAAACAAATCAATTCTTGTTCAATTTAATGTTATTGCATAAAATATGTTTTGTTTTTGATTTCTTAAATAAAAAAAAAAAAATACGAAGTATGAGCCGCATTAGTCGTCTTTAGTTGTATGGTAGTGCTCTTCAATATGGAAAGTACCTATATTGCATATATGATACGCCGTGTTACACTATTTTTTTTATATGATTATTTTACTATTTTAGAACGAAAACAAATGAAGCTTTTTCATGGATACACCCACGAAGACAGTAGAATAAATTCTAGGATATACCTTTATACCTAAACTACAGTGGTTAAAGTGGCTTAAAATAAGTGGAGGGATACATTTCGTTCATAAAGTTTTCATAGATTGCTTAATGAGTCGTACACAATGAATGTGTGTGGGGGTAAGTTAAGCTCCTTATACATTTTCTTATCATGCAATTGTATGTATAGTATACATTTATTTTTTTGGTTTGGTATCTTATTTTTGCATATAACTATAAAAATACCTACATTTAAACATATTTTGAATATACTTACAAATAGTATGTATAATATACGTAACATGTTATTTTTAAAACATTTATGAACGTACAATTTATAAAATATATTAACAGTATGCATTACACCATTAGACAGAACAGGTTTAAGAAAAATGGAAAGACTAATTTTTTTAAATATAAATTGTACTTTTGTAAAGTTAATCGAAAAAATACTCTGAACCGAAAATATATTATACAAGGCTATAGACCCTATACGACTATTTAGGGATTCCATGCTATACGATTCCTTACAACATTCATACATTCATGCCTAAAGTCTATCATTGACCATATATGCTCTATTAATGTGCAAAAATGCTTAAATATGCTCTAAAAAATATTTTGTTCCATCATTAAAAACCAATACATTTAAAATTTTTAATTAACATGTATCTATTTTTCTATCTTAGTAATTTTAATTTTTGTAAGATTGCCTTTAAACAAAACAAAACAAATAAAAACAAAAATTTCAATTATAAATGCATATTCTGTTTATGATTAAATATTTATTAAACTTTTGCTTAAACGAAGAATACATAGTTTTGGGACTAAAAAAAGTTTCAAATATTTTGGATTGTAGATGAGCAGCGGCGATTCTTCACCGGTGCATTTTTGATGAATTATCAAATAATATTTAATAATTTTAATTGATTTTTTACGATTTCTAGAAAATTCATATTATTAAATGCTGTATAATATATTAATATTTTAAAAATTCATTTAAAATACAAATATAACAAATATGCATTTACATAGGAAAAAGATATAATTATGTAAAATATGTAAAATAAGCAAAATATAAAATATTGCCTTAAACTCTTAGTATTATGAAATGAATTTTTATGTATCTTAGGTATGTTTTGAATGATTATTGAAAAACATGCAAATTCCTATACCTCCCTAAAGTCTTAAATTAATATATCAGGTATCTTATCAAAATAAGATTTTAGAAAATAATTTATTAGATCTAGTTGTCATATTAAGGCCCAATTTAAACAATTTAAATGAGCGAACAATAGGTGTTTTTTATTAAAAAAGTAATACTGTATTAGTGTATAATAGTAAAATTAATTAAAATACCACCGTAAAAATAATAATGTTCATGAAAAACACCAATATAAATTGGTAATATTTGTATTATTTGCATTTGTATTTAAATTATTTTCGAATAAATTAGAATGAAAATGTGAATTATGAAAAGTGGAGGAATGCCATTTAACCGTATCCCATCACCAATAGAGCAGCTAGTGAGTTATTATTCTGGGGAGACTTAAATTAACATACATTTTTTTTGTTCGTATGTTAAAGCATTGAAATCATTGGTTAGTAAAAAATATAATTCTATTATTTGGTATTTTTGCATTTTTAAAATAAGAACAAATACTCATAAAAATGTCGAAAATAATAAATATTAGATAGATAAACGTACAAAAGTTATTAAATAATAAATTAACAGGACCATAACGTCTAAAACTAATTAACGACGGCGCAGCGGCGCGGCAATTAATGTACCTAATAATGTCGTGAACCACCCAGGTTCACTAGAGTCAATAATACGCGGCTTATTCTCCTCAGCCACCTCCGTCCAACCAGCCATTCCATTACATGTTACGAGCTTTGCTGAACTGGCGAGAAGAAATGACTAATTTATTAGTATTTCCATCAACATTTAATCTCTATTAAAAGGTTTTCGATTTTGTGACTTTCGGTTTATAATAATAAAAAACGAAAACGATGTAATATATTTTCCATTCAAATGAAAATATTTCTATACAATATTGTTTACAAGTAAATGGTTTTCTTTTAAGGCGAGACGCAGTCTCAAAGTCTCCCCCGACGAGCCGCCTCTGTCCCATGATATGTACGAGTGTGTTGACTCCTTAGATCACAAACACTGGATAGAGCTATAAGCGTATATCACGCATAGTCCGTGTTTGAAGCAGACCTGTTCATGCCCGAAGAAATAGATAGCGCGGGACGGGGAAGGAACAATAATGTGTTATAGTGATAAGGACGATTGGGTATTGAATGTTTAGATCATAATATTATACTTTGCTCATGCGCAGTGATGACTTCGGGCACGAACAGCTATGCTTCAAGATTTTAAACCATAGCTCTATCCAGTGTATATGATCTAAGGTTGACTCAATCAAGTGTCGAGTGGTGCGTGTATGAGAACCGTCCGGTTCCCACGGCGGCCTGCGTGACCAAAAGGGCTGAGTGAGCACATTATGAAAGGCTCGGGACAGGCCATGGGCACAGCCCCGCCAGCTGGAGTCAGTCGAGTCTGGTCAAAAGAGTGAGTTGTGAGTAACACCCGCGTTACTAAGCAGAGCATCCTTTATAGTTTATAACAGAGCCTCATATAGTTTTAATCAGAACCTCTCATAATATCAGTGTTTTATCATATATATTAATTCTTCAATATTCAATTTAATAAATCAGTAATAGGATCAATAGTATTATCATTATATACATTAATTCTTTAGTGTTCAATACAATAAATCGGTAATCTTAATTATAAGCAAACTGTGTGTTATTTTATTTGATGCCAACACCTACGGTTTTACATCATTCGACGGTGGACCACACTTCACGTCCTTGGCAGCGTTTTATACTCAGCTGTAAACATAGACCTTATACTAGACAGTCTATGGCAGCAAGCTGTAAACCTGTAGAAACTGTTTACATCATAGACCTATTAACTCAGAGTTAATAGGTCTATGGTTTACATCGATATCAAACTGCAAGATAATAACACGGAATTATTCTGTGATAAGAACACCTAGACAAGTAATAACCACGGATTAATATAATAATAACACCATAGTCAACGCTTTTCAACATTACCTTTATTATTAATTGCCTAATGGCTAATTCACACACGTGATAATTTTGAACTCTGAGCGGATTTTATCATTGTTTTATTGTTCTAAAAACTTTTAAGTTTTGAAATTTTAACCCTTCAGACTTGAGTCTTGGGTTTTAACTTTTAATAATTAATAATAATTTGGGAGGTATGTACTATAATATAATAATAATTATAAGTTATAACTATAAGTACCTATGTATATTACGGAAAAATGAATTCAGTCGTTGGAGTTAGTTTGCCGTGTTTAATATTTTAATTGTTGTAGAAACCAGTTTTTATGAGGTCCAAGACAATTTATGCTAATTCTTAATTTAATTATATTACTTATAAATTATAATCATATAGTATGGTACAGCACTACAGCTATACTACATAACAATTAGCAATATTATGTAGGCAGTTGTACTGGGCATAATAATATATTAATATTATTAATGTTAACAGTTTTCAAATGGCTTATCAAAGGTTTAATAAAGTCTGTAAACATTTTTAGCCCAGTTTCCATTAGCAGCAGTTTTGGGTCTTGACAATGGGCGACACAGAAGCAAAAAGTGTGACTGGACCTTTGCTGGAACAGAGGGTTTGGAAAATTATTGTTGTGGGTGATTTGAATACTGGTAAGACTTCTATCATTGAACGGTACTGTGACAAGCATTTCATCGAATACTATCGACCTACGACAGGTGAGTCGGCCGTGTAAGTCCTCAGCGACGGTGCTGAATTTTAAATGTGTATTTATTTATTTTTTTATTTATTTATATTGTACCATACATTTTATTCTTTGAGTGTATCTGAGTAGATAAGTGCTTATAAATATGGTAGGTACCTACCATATAAATAGATCAGATAATATGCATATTATTTCTTTTTAATCTTGTTGATGTTGTTATAATGTTAACTGTTAAATATGTGTATACTTATCTAGTTTAAGCCCATGAATTTTATTTTTTCAGGTATTGATTTAAAAAAGAAAACTATCAATTTTGACAACAAAAGCATCGTTTTAAATATTTGGTTAGTATATTATTTGTATATTTTGATATTATTTTGTGTGAGAATTGACAATCGCAAAACAGTTGGGACTTTTCAAACATGTGTACATCACAGAAATTTATTGAATTAAGTTAGGGGGTTGGGTTGTATATTTGTGTTCAAGCATTAGATACTATTTTATTTTGTTGATATAATTGATATAATTGTAATAATATATTTTTATTAATTTTTTCTATAATAATTTAGGGACACTGCTGGAACTGAAAAATATCAATCATTAATTCAATTGTACTACAGAGGAGCAATAGGGTTATTTATTATCTACGATGTTACAAATTTAAATTCTTTACATAACTTGGACACATGGATGAGAAATATTGATGATGTTAGTATTCAAAATGTTAGATTAATAATTGTATTTAATTTAAATGTTGGTGAATGTAAATTTATGTTTTTATTAGAATTAAATATCAGCTAAAAACAAACTTAATTCAACTTATTTTTGGATTTATATTATATTTGTAGCATAATAATTTGGCATTCGTGTTGAATGTTACCTACCTATTTGTGTTCAGTGTTGGTGACTTACATTTTTGACTTTTGTAGATAATGTTATTTGTGGCATATGTTATTGTAACCTTTCAACCTTTGTATTTGTTATTATTCATAATATTTATCAAGTATTGGTTATCGCCATGTTGGTATTGTTGCTGTTTAATATAATGCAATTGCGTATGATACTATCAATCAATTGGTACCATATGAAGTGTTTTTAAAATATATTTATCAAACAAAATATATATAACAGTTTTTTTTTTAATTAACCTAATTGTGTTAACCATAATATGTTTAAAAATATATTGTATTATAATAAACCATTCTTTTAATACACTAAAACAATTAATAAATCTTTATTAATATATTTTACTCCTATACCGATAATTTTGAAATAAATGTCCAAATTAGATACCATAATATAAAAAAGTTGTTTAAAATTTTAAATATTTTTGTTTTTATTTTCAGTTTGCTCCTTCAAATGTGGTTAGAATTTTGATTGGTGCTAAATGTGATATGGAATCAAACAGAATGGTTTCAATTGAAGAAGGGAAACTGGTAATAATAATGGGTTGTGATTAATAAAAACAACAATTGATTTCAATATTTTATATCTTAACTATTATACATAATGATAAACAAAATGGCAGCCTGCGTTTTGACTTATATTTCCACTATCACCACTATAAATAATGACTAGATATTTTTATAGGTAGCAAAACATTTTGGAATACCCTTTTTTGAAGTGTCTTCTAAAAACAATATAAACGTAGACGATTCATTTTTGAAAATGGTTTCTATGATAAATGAGATGGAATCTGATAATACTATTAAAAAGGTAATTTAAATGTAGTAAATGTTGTAAAGACTACCTATCATATTATTAATTGAAATAATATAACTGACTATCTTATAATTGTTTTAAATTAGTTTAAGTTATATTTACATATTATATGTATAAATATGTTTAAAATTTAAATCGACTATTATTCTTTAATTGTATATATTAACACTGAGTGCATTAATTATTTTTTTATAGGATTTTGTGATCTTAGAAGACAAACTAATAGGTAGTGACGTTGACACCCTATCCAAATGTAACTGTTGACTGAAGAGGTGTTATAAGAAAACACCATAACATTTTATAAAATAGATTAATTATGTGTATACTTAAGTTTTAATTATTATTTTTATATATATTCTATAGAAATAAATTTTTTTTTTGCACTGATTAATTAAAACTGTTATATGATCTTGACCCTTGATTATCAAATACATATTATTTTTGAAACAGAAATAAAACATCCTAAGAAATATACTGACTCAAATGGGGAAAATAGATACACATCATCATCATGAATTAATTTATAAAACCTTCCATTTTTTTACTTGGCTTTCTATGAATTATTGCTATAGGGCGATTCTACTATAAACATTTTTAGGAAAAATAGTTTCACAATGAGAATCCATTTTTGAAAACATTTGTTTTTATAGTTTTATGTATAATTATTGTTTAGAGAGCCACTGCCTGGTTGTGTAATATACAATGGTAATCATTGTAGTTAAAATGATTCCAAGAAGAACTATATTGTGTGCTATTATTTTTTCAATTTTTTATGAAAGTATGATAAGGCAGGATAAGTAATAATATAGATTTATAATAATATTGTAAACTGGTCTCTTTATAGATTTTTAGAGAAGTAAAAATGAATTACTAAGATAGATATTGTTCACATTTTTAACACTGAAGTAAAACCATTTTTGTTTCTACATTTCTATTTAGGTCGGAGATTTAAATAACAAGTAAATTAAAAAATTAAATTAAAATGTTCCATATATTTTTTCACTTCTATTAATATAATGAAAACCGCAGTGCAATAAGACAAGCGCATTTGCCTACTGCAACACATTTATTGTTTCAATACAAAATTTTGTAGACATTTATTATTATGTAGGAGTGCATGGTGCCATTAAGACTTTGAATTGTAACTGTTAATGTACTGATAAAAAAATTACAATATTACATTGTTACTCGTGTGGCCATTATAAGTATCCAATGATATGCTTAAGTATGATGAACACGTTTAAAAAATGAACGGCGAAATACATTGTATGCACTTAATATAATAATAATATTATGTTTGTTTTTCACACTGTTGAAGTAAAATAAACAAAAAGTAATAATAATAATACAAATTACCCGGAACAAAGGAAACAAGTACCCATGTATATAAATTAAGAGATAGTTAATGTATTATATAATATTAAAATAATATGTGGCGGAGTAAATAAAAAAAAGAACAGGTAACCGCGATTAAAGCTGTTGTGAGTATAATTTATTATATATTATTATTTATTAATAATACAATTGAAACGATTTTGTATTTTTATAAAGTCGTTTAATAGGTCCACAAAATAAAAATAATCGACAAAACTACTGCAGGTGAGTTCTGAGCGGTCGACACATATTATAATAATAAACACTAAAGCGCCACCTCGTACATTTGTTGTAGTAGTTGGTGTAAAAACCACGGCATAAGAAAGTTCTAAGATGACTGTGGTACAAACGATTATCACGAAGACGCATTATTATAAATTATAATATTATACAGAAAGAAAACAAGTGATATAAAAAAGAAAATAATAAATCAAATCGTTTAAAATAATAATATTCTAATAACATCGTAATAATATATACATTATATTATATATACTTAGGTACCTATTATTACAATAATAATAATAATAATAATAATAATATGTATACATAAAATAATAATTGTTGATAAATACGTAATTTTAACACAATATAATATTATTCCTACAAATAATAATAATAAATAATAATATATTATAAGCCGATCATGATAATAACACGAGACGGTATAAAATAAAAGTAAACAACAATAATTATAATATTACCTATATAATACAGGTCACGGACGCGATGTGGTTGCCGCCGTCCGCAGTTTTCAATGGGTATAATATAATATAATAATATAATCTGGACTGGGGTCGTAGTCGTCGTCGTTGTCGTCAACCCTGGTACAAAATTAATATCGAACCAACGACTGGACACGTGATTATTATAAATATTATTATTGTTATTATACGGACGACGCGTTTAACACTATATTCTGTATTCTTTTTTATGATTATTTTATAACATTATATTATATTTATGTAAAGCTATCACAGCGCGGTATTATTCATTAGTTATTATTATATTGTTTTGCGAGCACGCCAAACGGACCGCCGTCCCTCGGCCGACACGCAAAACTATGCGATAACGGTGGTGGTGTGTAGAGTCGATCATCATCAGATGACGCTGGACGGAAGTATGTCCAATGGTCTGGTCAGCGTGCTGGTGCCGTTCTCGGGGCAGCCATTTTGCACCAGCAAGTCTGTCAGGGGACCGACGTCTTGGACGGACGCGGCGCCGGCGGCGTTCCTGCAAGCCGCCCGCACGTGTTGCAGACACGTCCGGCCCTCGTGGTCCACGGCTTTGGCGTTTGCTTTGTACTATATTGGGTGACAAAACGAAACACGAAATTAATGACGTCAATAATAATATTAGGTATTATTTATTAGATCACTGCCCATATAAGGTGGGGTTTAGAGTTAAGAATTTATATTGAACTTGACATTTCGGGATGGGGTGTCCCGGGCGTAAGTTTAGTCGATTTTTAGAAGGTATCATTTAAAAAAAAAACATAAAGCTTAAATTGTATGGTGATTTCGTCAGTTTCCATATTTTGCAGAACACGTATACGTGCATTATAAACGTGTTTTTTTGTGCAAATTTATTATCAAGTCAAGTTCACTAGTGTATTATAGTGCTATAGAAGTATTGTTCTACATTTTAGGTTACATCTTAGGTTAAATCTTTAGGTAAATAATAAATTTGACTATTTATTTTTATCATAGTAGAGTAGGACCTAAGTATACACTTTTTTTATGTAAAGTAATATATAAGAATCTGTTGGAAGAAATCTTTCGTTTTTTTTGAGTCAATCCTCCATATAAATTTTTTATTTCAATAATTTAATGTATTTTATGTCTGTATTCAAACAAGAGCATATGTTTTGAACTCATAAGTTTGAGTTGTTATCACGACAAGCAATAATGTATTCGCATCATTACAGCACATGGTTTATGAGCGTTTTAAATGTCTTACTTACCCATAGGAGTAGCTGTGCTACAGGAAGGTTGATCGCAGAGCAAGCTAGGTGTAAGGGCGTGCGCAGGTCTCGGTGGCTGACAACACAATTCACCTGGTCAGCGCTGGCATGGGCCAATATCAGGGTGAGGGCTTTCATGTCACACCTTATAAAATTACAGAAATTAGTACATATAATCAATGTGCCATATTTGAAAAGGCCGTAAGGCTGCCAAAAGCTTTGCAGATTTGCTCGAGTGGGTATGTAAATGACACTCATATTCTTTGAAACGATTTTTGAAAACGAATTTCATAACCCTCAATCAAATAAGAATACATTTTAAATCATGACCCACCTGTACACGGCGTCGATGAGCTGCTGCGATAAGTTAGGAGTGTGACTTATCGCCGGTAGGAACTCTTTGGTCTCGTACTTGCTACGTATCCACAGTTCTTTCTCCTCCCGGCTTGAACCAGGATTAGGTTTGGTTCGGTCAGGACGGACGTTGGATTCCCATACGGAATTCGCCAGATCGTTACCCATGGCCATCATTACTTTGAGGTGGGAAGGTCTAGAAAAACAATTTATTTTTGATGCAAATCGATAGTATTGATAACTGTATACAAGAATATATGGGTTTAACATTTTGAGTAAAGATTTTATTTTTTTGTAAGTATATAACTAAATATGAATATTTAATGGGAATTAAAAATATTCACTCATATTTTTACAGTATATGAACACTAAATAAATGCAGTAAATCACTCACGGCCATCCATCTAAGTCGAGCGACCGTACTTTGGATATGTGCGAGCCCAGGTTGCGGTGTACGCCGGAACACTCGATGCACATGAGTATTCCCAGATTCAAACTGGCCCAATCGGGATTAGGGGAATTGCAATCTGCGCATTGCCCGTTTCCGGGCACACGCGTCCGGATGCTTTGCACGTCTTCCGCTCGGTTATAGGACGATCCGAATTTACCGCCGACATTCACTTTGATGATCTCATTGCTCTGTGGAAATAAAGTTATGTATTTTTAATATTGATACACAAAGTGAATTATACTTGAAGAGTAAACATTTCTTTTAGAAATACATAGGTAATAATGGTAATATCATATGACTTAAGTATATTAGGTTATTGCAATAGTACTCGCACCGCACAATTTTATCCCGCTAAGGAATTAAAATTGCAGTGTAAGTGGTTGGCTTATATTTAAGCCATGGGTCGTACGCTTCCATTTTATTTAATTTGATAACAACGTAGGCTATGAGCAATAACCTTGTATATTTAAGCCACGGGTAATACTAATAAACACTGACTTGTAACGAGTTGAGAATCTGTTGTTCGATGGCGGCCACCCATTCGTCTCGGTCCTCCGAACTGTTAGCTTCAAACTGCCACTGTTTGTTATCCAACGATACAATTAGGAATTCGTATCCATCAGTGTCTGCAAGTGTAAACATTATATTAATTTTTTTAGCTAACATTTGTTATTTGACTAATTATTGTTTAATGACTCAACGAATTATTTTTATAGGTTGTTGTCACAAATACTGATATCGATGAATATTCATTCGAGATATAAAATATTAAATCCATAATAGTGTTGGTTAATATTATTAATTAAGTATCGGAGGACGCTTTCATCACCCTCATTACGTGTTGTCTCCGTCTTACAATTAATGTGCAACATAAAAAAACTGTTTTGCGCGGGACTTTACTCCCTCTGTATTTATAGTAGAATTACCAATATTTGACAACGAAAACTTTACCTGTGTTGTAGCTTTTTTATTCTTTTGATACCAATAATTAATCCTCTTAAACTTAAACGCTAAACATGCAATTCAATTTTTCACAGGTACAGAAGTATACGGTGTGATCAACCCAACTTAAGGTAGCACTTAATATTTCGGGCGATGACCATTAATTTGATTCGGGTTTTTTTTTACTAAGTACTTAGTGTTACACTTAATTTTGAAAAATTTAAATGTTTTATCTTATTTTCCGCACTAGCACATTTTTTTAAATTGCACCCATCCCTCTCTA